TGTACAATCATTGTACAACTCCAAATACACGAAAAACCTCTGCATTGTACACTTCATATGACTTGTATGTGAATTATATCTCCACAGAGCTATTAATAAAAACCAAAGGAACAAAAGTAAAACCTCAGCTCTGCCCAAATCACCTTACCTAAATCATCTGCATAACCCAGGCTCTCAGCTTTGTGTGCTTAACATATTAACATACTGTATGAGTTTGGAATTTAAAATCTAGACAGAGGCTACATGAAGGATTAAGTTTGCATTATTTATAGATGAGAAAAAATTTCAGGTTGTCACCTTAACAGTATAACTAGTACTTCAAACACCCTGAAATCTCTGAGACCCCGTGACCAATCTTGTTTGTTATGTGCTTCCTCAGCAAAGATACTCACTTCCAGTCACCATAAAACTGAACAGTCCACAAAGCACTTCAAACTCACATTTAACTGGCCTCACTTCCGGCCTACCTAGCCCAAATTTCACAGATTAAGCCTTAATACCCAAGGCTGACTTATTATATTGGTGACATGCAGTGGAGAACTGGTCTTTCTTGAGCTGTGCTGTCCATTGTGGCAGCTGCTGGTCACACTGGGCATGGAAATACAGCCAGTCCAGGTGGAGCCCACCGGCCAGGAGTAGCTCAGAGGAACAGCGCTTGCCTCGTGTGCACGAGGCCCTGGGTTTGATCCTCAGGACTGTGATGATCCCAAAGCCAAAGCCACAAACGGAGACACACTTTTAAGTGTAAAATACCCATCAGGTTTTGAAGACTTAGTATAACTTTTTTTTTTTTTTTTTTTTTTTGTCTTTTTCCTTTTTACCGGTACCAGGGATCGAACTCACGACCACCTGCTTGCAAGGCAGGTGCTTATGCCGCTGAGCTAAATCCCCAGCCCCCTTAGTATAACTTTTAAAAGAGAATGTAAATTATTTTTCAGGACTGGGACTGAGCCAGGGTTTTCACATGGAGCTACATCCTCAGCCAGGGTCTCACTAAATGGCTGCAGTGCTCAGCTGGGCTCAGACTTGTGCTTCTCTTCCCTCAGGTTCTCGGTGTTAGGATTACAGGTGTGCGCCACCACTGTGCTCTGGTCAGTTTTTCAATTTTTTGGTCTTTGGAAACAGGTCTCAATATGCAGCACATGCTGGCCTTGAACTTGTAGTGATCCTCCTTCCACAGGGTCCCACAGTGCTAGGATTACAGGTAGGCACCAGCATACCTGGCCACCATCAGTCTCCCTATATATGGGATTATTGTTTTTGGTGGTGGTCCTGAGATTGAACCCAGGGACTCAGGCAAGTGTTCTACCACTGAATCACACCCCTGGCCCCCAACTTTCTTTCTTTCTTTCTTTTTTTTGTTTAGTACAGGGGATTGAACTCAGGACCTCATGCTTGCTAGGCAGATGCTTATGCTGCTGAGCTAAACCCCTGGCCCAAATGATTAAAAAAAAAATCCTAATTATAAGTTGAAATACTTTAGATACATTTGCTTAAATACAAAATTAAATTTCACCTGTCCCACCCCCTTATTTTCTTTTTTCACTTTCTTAATGTGACTACTGGAAAATTTCCAGTTACCAATAGTAATCCCTGTCTTCTCTGGTTTTACTGTCCACAATTTTGGCCACTTGCAGTCAATCATGGTCTAAAAGTTCATCACAGTAAATAAACTAGCAGAGTCGGGGAGGAGAGATGTTTACATGACTTGTATCACAGCGTACTGTTAGAACGGCTCTATTTTATCACCGGTTATTGCTGCAAATCTGATGTATCTCTATGTAAGAAAAAACATGCTATTTCTATAGGTTGCTGCCAGGTATTGGATGCATTCTTTGTTGCCGCTGCTGCCACTGTACACAGCTCGACTTAACCAACACAAGCTTCTGAGGGGACCCTAAGTACGCAGTAGGAGAGGGACTGTGAGAAACCTCCCATGATAGATTTCCAGTCGTATCTTTTTAGTTTCCAGAAGTCCTCAGCACAGGTTGAAAAGCTCTAACATGAAGCCATACTGCAGCCTCACAGAACAAATTAGTATCTGACTCTACCATTCTTGTTTTTGTTCAGCAGTAGCTGGGATTGAACCCAAGGCCTGCCTGTGCTGGGCAAGAGCTCTGCCCCTGAGCTTCAGATCCCAGCTGCACCCTCCTAGGAGGAGGACACTGAATGGGAAGCAAAGGTGGAAAGGAGGAGAACACCAGAAATCATATGGAAGCGAGTTTTAGGAGAATGCTGGGATGGTGGTGGTACAGTGCTGGCATAGCATGTGTGAGGACCTGTATTTGATCCCCAGCACCACAAAAAATGACTTGTTACAGGGATCTACTTGACATGTGGAATTCTGAATCAGTGTGAGCCCTCAGCCTAATTACAGTGAGCCACTGCACGTAGCACACATGCAGTTATTAGCAACGCAGGTGGTCACCCCCAATGCGTGTGACCTCTCCTCCGTACCTTGGACAGATGACTTTTTTACCAGGCCAGTGCTACCCACAACAGAGCCACTAGCTGTGCATGGTGGTGAAGGCACTGAATCGGGGCTACCGAGGAGCCGGGTCTTAGTGTCCACTCACGGGCTCCAGCTTGGCATCACGGGGCCGGCAGCCTTGAGCGCTGCTGCTGTGAGCTAGTGCAGACCTGCAGCAGTGCACCCCCTCAGTGGGGCCTGATCAGAGGTGCCCTTCAGCTTCCAGATGCCACTGGGTTTTGAGTCTGGAAAGCACCTGTCTGGAGGGGGACCTTTTCTGCACACCCTGCAGCCTCCAAGACTGCGAGCTGGTGATGGTGTGCCTGTGTGCAGTCTTCCCCTTCTGCTGGACAGTGTCCACATTCCTCTCCAAGACCTTCCGAAGTGCTCATGTCCACCACTGGGATGTTCCCTCCTGTTGGAAGGCAGCCTCACCAAGTGAGAAAGCAGATTTCATCGAACAAAGAAGAGCTTTGTCCTTTGCTATGCAAGCAAATGCTTCAGAACATGGCCAGAAAGCTTTTTAATTCTTCCACTAGGCTTTTACCTCTGAAATTAAGATTCACTGTCCTAATGTTGTTTTTAAAAAGGATATATACATCAAAGGACATATATATCAGTGGGTACGAAAACCATTTAGATATATTGCTTTTTTCACCCCTCCCTTTAAGTGTGAAATGTCTGAGAAGCAGACTCCAGAGCAAGTCCTCGTTAGTACTCCTCTGCACTGCTTGAGGTGGGGCGAGGTTCCCATGACGTATCACTATGGCCACTCCCAGTATTTTGGCTGATTCATTTTTTTGTTGTTGTTGTCTTTTTCCTTTTTATGGGTACCCGGGATTGAACTCATGACCACATACTTGCAAGGCAAATGCTTATGCTGCTAAGCTAAATTCCCAGCCCTTTTTCTTTTTCTTTTTTTTGTTGATTCAACTATTGATCAGAATGTTTTAAAGATTGGGGCTTTCCTATGTTGCCCGAGTTGGCTTTGAAATTGAGTTCATGTGATCTCCTGTGTCAGCCTCCAGGAACTGCAGCTGTGTGCCACCATGCCAGGCTGTAATTTTTTAAAAAATCAGTACACTGGTTAATTATTACTTATAATATGAAATCAAGATTTCAAGATTAACCAGGTTTTATTAGTGTAATGGTTATCTAGTTATTACTTATAAAACCATGAACATAAACATTTTAGAGCATGATATTGATAACTGCATTTTCATTTAGGAAGAATGCTGGTTTACATTATATTAAAAACAGTAATTATTATTTTAAGCAAAAATTTAGAATAAAAAAATACTTCTACATTGAGGATGAGGTTGCTTCTGTTATGTGAATTTGCAGAGAAGCCTCTTCCACGTTAACAATGAAGACATTCTAGCAGGGTGCGGTGGTAACTCCAGCACTGGGGAGGCAGAGGCAGGAGGGCTGCAATCAGTCCCAGGCCGGCCCAGAAACCCCACGTTCACGTCAGCAGCACACATACACAGTGAGGCTGTCTCACAAAGCCAAGCAAACCACCGTGAAAATGTCCTGCTGTCTATGCTCAAGTGATTTATATTCCACACTAAGTCCCTGAAGTAAGCAATGTTCTCAAGTCTCAGAGTAGTGGGAAGAGCTCACCCTGAATCATTTTTCCACTGAAGCTTAAGAAAAGCCATGAAGCAGGGCAGAGTTATGCATGTCAGCAATTCATGCTACATGTGAGGCTGAGGGAAGAAGACCACAAATCTGAAGCCAACCTGGGCAACCTAGAGACATCCTGTATTGAGTTTTAAAAGGGGGACTGGAGGTTTAGCTCAGCGGCATAAGCGCCTGCCTTGCAAGCAGGCAGTCATGAGTTCGATCCCCAGTACTGATAAAAAGGAAAAAGACAAAAAAAAAAAAAAAAAAAAAAAGAAGAGTTTTAAAAGGGGGTGGGAGGTGGGGTGTTGCTCAGTGCTCCCTGGTTTCGATCCCCAGTAACTGGTAGGGGCAGGGAGAAGAGCCATGCACAGACTGGCAGTGAACCAGCACAGCCAAAAAAATGAATTCATCACATGGTACCGTATTTTCCAGAAGAAAACTTAAGTTGAGCCTCACTTTTTATAAAATGTAAATTTGTAAGTGCAGAACTATAGAATACACTTGTAATAGAAAAACTTACATCCTCTGTAATTTTCATTAGTCAATGTGATGGAGAACTGGACAGTAGAGACAGGGCCACTATACATGTAATAAATCAGGAGAGGGGCTGAGGAAGAGGAACCGTGTTCTCTCTTACGTCTGCTGCCAGACGCAGGACAAGTATCACCCACACTCCGCGGAGCGCTGCACGTCTTCACTCCTCTCATTGCCACTCTGGCGAGCATGCTTGAGGGATGGGGAAGCCGACAGAGGGGTGCAGCCAGCCGGAGTCACTGGCCGGGATGCTGGATGCCCTTCCCCGTCCTTCAGACCGCACAGGCCGTCACCACACTGCGTCCGTCCTCAGGACCCTGCCTGCTCTTGGCCTCTTCCCTTTGGTCAGGGACAAGATTCTTGTTTGCACTCAGTTTTAGAATTTTTTTATTTACATCATCAATAGAAAGCAGGTTTTAAAATATTTATTACATTTTGTTTTAGAAATAATAGAAAACAAAAATTGGTAGTTATATCACACAACTTTGGAAGGCAGATTTATGCTTTCACATCCGAGACATCCAATATACAATGCTGACAGACACCTGAACAGTAGGTGACAAATGGTACACGATGTAGACATTTATGTGTGTGTGTGTACGTATGTATTTGGTACCAGGAATCTAACTCAGGATCTGGCGCTTGCCAGGCAGGCACTGTGCCACTGAGCTGTATTCCCAGCCTGCAATGTAGACATTTTAAAGTCTTTGCCATTATTTATTTTAGGGCAAATACCAGTCCAGTAGAAATAGTTTCCAACATAAAAGGCACCTAGAGTAAACATCAGACCTTAACCAATAAAAAAAGCTACATGTTTATATGAAGACAAGAGCCCGTATCAGTGCAGATCTCCTGCAAGACATTGAGAGTATGAATGTTAAAGCAACTGCAAACTAAAAGCATATAAATGCTGACCTGAATCTGGTACATGAAATGCATGCCTGGTGTCCTTACTTTTTGGTGGTGTGGTACTGGGAATCGAACCCAGGGACTTCACATTGAGCTCTTTTAAGTATTTGTTTCGAATCCTGGCATGGCGGAGCATGTCTGTAACCCCAGCATTTGGATGGCTGGTGCAGAACGACTGCAGGGTCAGGGCCAGTCTGGGTTACACAGTGAGTTCAAGGGCAGCCTGAATTACAGAATGAGACTTTGTCTTCAAAAAGTTTTTGAAACAGGGTCTAAGTGAAGCAGGGCTTGAACTTGTGCTCCTCCTGGCTCAGTCGCCTAGAGGGCTGGGATCATAAGTGTGCACCATGACACCTAGCTGACAGTCACTCTGGTGACTATAAACTTATAGGCCCTTTGTTAGCATTTGAATCAGCATGAGTACTATATTTATATTTGTAACTGGAGAGTCTCAAATTATCCATAATCAACATTTGTTTTGTTGCATTTGCTCTTAAAATGCTTGCTGTGTACTACATTCATGATATGTTAAGAATTTGTTGTCCTTCAAATATTCTGCACAATCTAAAACTGCTATTTGATACCTTCAAACCAACGTCCTTTTTAAATATTATAACACCTGTAAAACATATCTGACCATGATTTAAGCACCTGAAGTACATTCTGACCAATTATATACTCTGAGCTAAAATTAGGATCCTCAGGATTAGTGTATATGTACAAACTTTGCAAATTATTTCCTTAAGCTAATAAAAATTTAAAAAAATACAAATAATCCTTTGCTATAATGACTCAAAATCCATATATGGGTGCTCTGCCTGAAGAGGACCAAGTACTCGTCTGCATGTGGATAAAGCAAACGCTCCTCAGCGGAGCCAGGCTGTGTTCAGCTGTGTCTGGTTCTTGATGCTGGTGTCCATCTTTAGCACTTCTCGAATGGCCATGGTAGCATAAGTAGAAGGAGGAAGCGAAAAATCCATTTTCAGAGCCCTGTATTTGCCTTCTGCCAGGCAGGGAAGAAGACAACAGTCAGAAAAAGAAGGCAGCCACATACACAGTGGAGAGGGTGTCACAAAAATCTCTAGACAAACACACAAGGCTGTGCCTTCTCTTTAGGCTTTTACCTCCTTGGGCCTCAGAAAACGGTACTGTGGAGTCAGAGATCTGGGAGCGCCTGAACCAGCCGGGCGGAAACAGGAATCGCACCCAGGAGCCCCAATGCAAAGGGCACAGGAGAGAAATGGGCATGAATTTAAAAAACCTAGCGTGGTGGTAGTGGGGGAACACCATGGAGGTGGGGATGATGACAAAAAGAAATGACAATGCCACAGGTTTTGGGTTGTTTTTTGAGGTTCTTTTTTTTCCTCTTTTTGAGACAAGGTCTCACTATGTAGTGTGTAGGCTGGCCTTGAATTCACAGCAGTCCTCCTGCCTCAGCCTCTGGAGTGCCAGGAGTATAGGCATGAGGCACCATGCCAAATACATGTTCTCTTTTTCACAGTAGCTAGCTCTCACCCTTGAGAGTGCACTTGTGTTCCTACTTAGTTTGCACTCATATGTTTCTTTTCCTACCTTTTTTTTTTTCACCAGTACAGGGGATTGAACTCACGACTGCCTGCTTGCAAGGCAGGTACTTATGCTGCTGAGCTAAATCCCCAGCCCCTCTTTTCTTACTTTTAATAAACGTAAAACCATACCAAAGACAAAGGAAAGAAACAAAAGAGAGAGGGGGGGAGGGAAGGAGGGAGAGAGAGAGAGAGAGAGAGAGAGAGAGAGAGAGAGAGAGAAAAGATGGACAAGGAACTGACAATGAGACAGCAATTCCACTTTTCAGTCTTCCTTACTGTCTCTGCATGAGGACAGGGAGGAAACAGACAGTCACCGAGGATCACCCCCTCTGTAACTTTCATCCTTGGTGGGAGTGACTGTTGGAGTTACTCACTCCAGCTGCCATCAGGAAGCCAAGGTGACAACACATGAAACAGAAATTACAGAGTGGGTGGGAAGTGGTTATGACTATAAAAGCAGTTTTCCCAAAACATTACATTTTTACATGAAAAAACATTTCAAAAGTTGACACAGAGCTGAAGACTGAGTGAACTTACCAGAAGCAAACACTGGTGGTGGTTTTCCTTCTAGGTTGTCCACATCGGTGTTGAAAAGTGGGATTTTAGGGTCATCGTACGCAACGACTTCCCTTGAAAACATATAAAGGGAAGTCTGAACGTGAACTTCCATAGACGGTACTCAGTTTCCCATCACCATGAGTTTCCCAAGAACACACATGGGACTACTGCGAATAATTACAGGCGGGTTCGCTCAAACCATAGTTGGGCTACACTTTACATACAACTCTTCCTCATTCCTCAAATTGCTATAAGGCAATGACAGAAAATGTTTTCTAGGATGGAAATTCCTTTTCCATGAAGCTGGTTAAGTAGTAAACCTCACTTTGCACAGATGGGATCAGAGCAATCATTTCCAGTTTCTCTAGAGTGGTCATGACTGCCACCAACACCTTTTACTAGTGCGGAACTGTTCTGCCTGAGAACAGTTCTCTCTGCCAACTTCAGGCCCACGGTCAGAGAATAAAGGGAGGTCAGAGGGAGAGAAGGAAAGAATTTTCTGCTACTGGGCAAGTAGTTTAGAATTTCCTTTTAAATTGTCAAATAAAGCTTTCAGCGACACTAGTATTAAGATATTTTAAAATGAATACAAGCATTTTTTTCTCTCTAGAAACATGGTGTTAAAATAACTAGATCAGTATTTGGAACTCAACCAATTCTGAGTATTTTGAGGGAGATAGCTCTATTAGCCAACTTTTCATTCTTTTTGAAACAGGGGGTAAAGTTCATTTTTTTTGGTATTTCTTCAATAATTTAGTGATGTCAACAAATGTAAATGAATCTACTTTCACTGTGTGACTGGATTTAACACAGCTTCATGTATTTCTTTTCTTTTCTTTTTTTTTTATCGGTGCCAGGGATTGAACTCACGACTGCCTGCTTGCAAGGCAGGTGCTTATGCTGCTGAGCTAAATCCCCAGCCCCTGTATTTCTTGATGATTTGAAAAATACCTCTCGATAGCAGCAGTGATAATAGTAATGAGAACAGTAACACTTATGAAATACTTTTTTTAGTCTTTTTGAGACAGGGTTTCACTATGAAGTTCACACTGGCCTCAAACCCACAGTGATCCTCTTGCGTCAGCCTCCAGAGTGCTGGGATTACAGGAATGTGCCACCAGCTCAGCCTAGATGCTAGATTCTAAGCACTGAGAAATACATATGTTGAGCCAAAACTGAAAAGCAAACACAGTAATTCAGTTCTATTTCATTCTAAACTATACTCACCAGCTGACATTCTGAGGACGAATAATGATCTTTCGGTAGGCCCCCGATAAGGAATAGTCTCGAATTTTGTGTCTCATGTTGTCAATATCAAGGTTGTCTGCAGTCAGCATTTCTCTGTAGGCTTCACTAACTAATACAAAATAGAAAAACTTAGTTGGGAAGCAGCCTGTCAGCAAGTTACCCTGAACTCGACTAGGAATAATGCAGTATGTAGTTTCATTAGAGTGCCCTAACAACCTTGGTTACCCTGACTTACGATCCAAAGCCTATTCTCTAGAGTCAAACTTAGCGACTTAGTAACCAGGACTAGGAGGTGTCTGCAACTTTGGTTTGTCCAACCTGTAGGTGATCTGCATCCAGCCCCACTACCTGTAGGGTAACTCTTGAGTTAACAACAAAAGGCTACTTCAGCGGCTGGGAGCAGAGTCCCAGGCCTATCACTCCAGCACTTGGGAGGCTGAGGCAGAAGGACAAGGAATTTGAGTTCAGCCTACACTACACAGTGAGTTCAATATCGGACTGAACTAGATGTGAGAACCTGTCTAAAAAAAAGCCACTTCACCAGTCACAATGTGCTCAGAGTCAGAAAAGACCATACACAAAGACTTCAGTAATTAAAAATAAATGTACAAAAATAAGAGACCCTGGAAAGCCATCTGGCTCACACTTGCGCCTGATGTAGAAGCTTTATTTAATACTGATAGACAAGTTCTAGTCTCTGCTTCTGTGTTATTTACAGGGGATCATTTCTTTGCAAGGCACATAATTACTACAAAGTTCTTCCTATTCCAAGCTGAACTCTATTTTCTTGTATTCTGACGATTACTCTGGAACATAGTGGGTAAACTTTCCTCCATAAACACTCTCAAGTACTGGACCCTTAAGCCATTATTATCATGACACCAAAAATGACCCTCTCAACTGTCCCTCCTTTGATATGGACATATACATAGTTTTTGCTGAGATAGGGCTCACCACGTGGTCCAGGCTGGCCTTGAACTCCTGACCGTCCTGCCTCAGCCTCCTTAGTGCTGGGCTGGTAAGTGTGCCCACCATGTCAGGCTGACATTTCTGTTTTCCACCAAACACTTTATCTGCCCTAGGGTCATAAGTTTACATGTACAACAATAATAACTCTAGATGCTTCTAAACTTTCCATACTAACCACTATGGAAGTAGGGCTTTTCTGTCTGTCCATCTGATCCCTGAGCAAAAGTATGAGAATTTATGTTTAACCCTTTTAAGTGCTTTGTACAGTTTTCTAAGATGGGCTCTTGCCATGCTGCCCATGCTGGCTTGAACCTCCATACCCCCCACCTCAGCCTCTCAAGTATTTGGTGCAGTTCTCCTTGTTTTTTACTAGTTGTTTTTCTTGACACAGGGTCTTGCTATGCAGTTTAGGCTGGCCTCAAACTCACAGCAATCACCCCGAGCGCTGGCGTTACAGGCATGCAGCACCATGCCAGGCTAATTCTTTTTAAATAGTTTTTCATGCAACCATTATTAACTACTTTGCCTTACACTATTTTAAAAATACGATCTGCAGGTTTCTTTATTCCAGTTATTCATTAAAAAGTCAGCTGGGGGCTGGGGATTTAGCTCAGCGGCATAAGCGCCTGCCTTGCAAGCAGGCAGTTGTGAGTTCGATCCCTGATACCGATAAAAGATGAAAAAGACAAGAAAAACAAAAAACAAAACAAAAAACAACAAAAAAAAGAAGTCAGCTGGGTGTGCACCTGCTAAGTGTCCACATGGTACAGGATCAGTCATGCAGTGTATGAGTCTCTTTCTCAGCCACAACATGGCTTTGTCAAAACTGCTGAATTTGTTCTAGTTGTTTTAGGAATGTTACTAATCCTGAGAAGTGTAACAAAGATGAAGAGTCTTTTCTTTTTTCTTTTGAGACAGGATCTTGCTGTGTGGCTCAGGCTGGCCTCTAACTCATGGCGGTCCTCCTGCCTCTGCCTCCCGAGCGCTGTGACTGCAGGTGTGCACCACCATACCTGGCATTCTTTTCCTTAGGATGGTTGATTTGGAGGGTCAACTTACTAAATGATGGCTGGTACACCAGCATTTGTTCTCAACATTCCACAAGGCCTTAGCCTGTCACTCTTACGTTGTAAGGGGAACACAAGTGATTTTTTTTCCTCCCTCCTTCTTGTATCACTACCACTACATGAACCTTTGCACTGAAGTATATTCCCAGGTCCCCTTCCCCTGCTTTTTTTTTTTTTTTTTTTTTTAAATTTTGAGACAGCATCTTGCTAAATTGCCCAGGTTGGGCTTGAATTTAGAATCCTAACTCAGCTTCCCAGAGTGCTGGGATTATAGCACCACCATGCCTGGCCTGATTCTGCTTTTCATTAGACTGCCTGGCTGACCCTTGCGTGTATTGGAGGCTGTTTCCGGAGAAGTGTGCCATGTGAGTCAGGGCACTCCCAGGAGAGCTGTGCTCAGTGTGCATAACCTTGGATGGAACAAAAAGGAGGAAGGGCGGGTGGCTTCCCCCTCTCGGGGCTGGGACAGCCCTTTTCTCCTGTGTAGGTCAGAGCTCTAGGCTCTTTACCTGTGGAGGCTAGGCCTTGGGCCAGCAGCTGTCCTCTCCTACCCGCACTGCTGGCCCTGCAGCCTCTGATGAGAGCCACACGACTGCCTTCCCTGTTATCAGGACTGTGGACCTGGACTGCGCATGGCTACTGCTGCCCTCGGTTCTCCAGTCTGCAGATGCCCTGCCAAGGGGCTCCCAGCCTTGCAGAAGGCCAGCTCCTAGGCAGCCCTGCCTCACTGCTGACTATTGGAGGGGGAGGAGGGGATGGCCGTCTCTCTGCAGTACTGCGGAAGCTAGCATGAGCGTCTCCAGTGCCTTCCCACAATTCCTGGTCCTGCTCTCCTGGTTCCTGCCCACCCCACCTCTCACCCACCCCTCCCGCTCAGGGAAGTCAGCCTGTGTGCCAGAGCACAGCGGTCTGGCTGAATTAATCAACACGCTTCTAGGGTATTTTCATTACCTAAGAAGGGTGTTTATTACACTCATTTTCCGAATTCATAAAATTTCTAAGACTACATTTTGATAAGTATTTTTAGCTTCTTGGGAGAAAGCTATTTTAACAGGAAAACACTGACAGCCAGGTCTCAGGTGGGAACAATTCCCAAGTCGGTCCCACTGAACTGGTCCCCCTGTCAGAGCTGCTCTTTATTTCAACCTCTGAACAATCGAAGTCCTAAACCCCTATTTCTGCACACAGGGCACCTATGAGGGCGACAGAAATAATCAGTAGCAGCTGACAGTAAAGAATGGGAAACAAAGAATTTTAGTTTTCTATTTTGGGGTGGTTGTGGGGCAGGGCATTGAACCCAGGGTCTTCACAACAAGGTACATTCCATGTCCTTTTTCTACCTTAATTCGCAGATAGGCTCTCATAAAGCACTAAATTGCCCAGGTGGGGCTTGAGAGGCGGCTCTTCCTTGCCCAGCCTCCCAGAGCACTGGGAATACAGGCCTGTGCCACAAGGCTCAGCTTAACAGCCCGTGCTTTTTAAGTTTCTGCCTACTTGGAGACTTAAAAACATGAGCACACACTATTTTGTGCTGCTGGGGATTAAACCAAGGGCTTATACACATTAGTCAAGCGCTCAACCACTGAGCCACATCACCAACCTTTCATACCGTTTTAAATTTTTTTCTGGTACCAGAGATCGAACTCATGACCTTGTGCTTGCCAGGTCCCTATGCAGTTTTTTTTTTTTTTTTTTTTTTTAGTTTTTAAGAAACTTATGTACAGCACAATTGTCTGTCTATATGCACTTTCTCAATGACTCCATCTTTAATGTAAATTAGTAAGTTTTCGTGTCGCAGTGCTAGAGACTGAACCCAGGGCTTCACGCACACTGGGCAAGCGCTCCGATGTTGGGCCACGTCCCAGTCCTGACTGAGTGCACTGTAGGAACTTAGTTCTGCAGGCAGTATCCATGACACTACCACTGTAACTAGTACTACCTTCCCCTCCTCTGCCCTCCTGGGAGTGGCTGGACTGTGGCTTGTGAGTATACAGCTCTCTCTCTCTTTCAACATCCCACATAGCTTGGACCACAAGCAAGAGCCCCTTGCCTCACTTTCCTTTTAAACATAAATTCTCCATCTGAATGTATGCTTATCTATGTACATTTGAAATACATATTTCTCATTAAGTCTGATGGAAATACAGTTTTAAAATTAGAGTAGTATGGCTCATGCCTGTAGCCCCAGCACTCGGGAGGCTGAGGTAAGAAGATCGTTGCAAGTTTGACACCAGCCTGTGCCACAAAGTGAGCCCAAGGCCAGTCTGAACTATACAGCGAGACCCTGTCTCAAAAAGACAAACAAACAAACAAAACTAGAGTAGTGATTTTCTTCTTTACAGGTGGTGGCCAGGGCTTGACTTCATTAGACTTGTTTTCAATATTTTGCACCCTTAGGGAACTTACTTTTATGCTTTGGGTAGATCACATCGAAACCAGGCAAGGGCATCACCACATCATGAATGGAGTAATTAGTAACATCTCCTTCTTCAATATATGTGGCTGTGGCTGTAAATTCATAAGCAAACAGTAACTTAAGGAAAAAGTCAATATTTTTAGGAATTCAAGCTTAGAAGGGAATTAAGTTGGGATACATATCTAGTTGTCTTTTCTACTCTACCTAAGAAACAAAATATTTAATTTTTAAAAATTTAATTATTTTTGGTACCAGAGATCAAACTCACAACCTCGCACTTGGCAGGCAGGTGCTTGTGTCACTGAGCTGTATCCTCCACCCCTTAATAGAATTCTTAAGACTGAAAAAGGTCAGCTGGAAAACTTCTAGGAAGAAGGAAGAATGGTCAGCAGTGGCAGGTCTGAGAGCAGCCATGCAGACACTGGAATAGAGCAACGTGAGGAAGCGAGGAGGAGGCAAATGGGTCTCCTGGACCCGGGAAGGATCTGAGGGGAGAACTGAAGCCCATGGCAAGAGTGCAAAGAGAACTTCAATGAAGAAACAGGTAACTACCAGAGCCTTCTCCTGGAGCAGGGGTTCGCTGCAAGGGAGGAGCAGTTCAAACCTGCTGGTGACTGCTGGCATCACCAGAGGCCTCCGCAGAGAGGGGCAGCACTGTGAGGGAACAGTGGATTGCAGGACTGCACTAGCTGCTGCTGAGTGCTGCAGAAGCAGATGTCCTCAGGAGAAGCTGGGAGCCACCTTGCAGAGGGGCCAGCTGAACTGAGAACTCAGAAGAACAGGCTTCCCACTGAGTTCAAGCCCCCATGCCTCCGGTGTTCCTCACCATAACATCAGAACACATTCTTAGCTGTTCATGTGACTTTCTCCAAAACAGACTACATACTAGCTAACAGAACATGCTTAAGTAAATGCAAGGGAGTTAAAACCACTCCATGCATATTGTCACACCACAGTGCTAAGAAATTGAAAATTAATGGCAAAAGAAACTACATGAACTTAACCTCCTGAATACCAGTGGGTCACAGATGAAGTTAAAGAGGAATCGGACAGTTTCTATAATTAAATGGTAATGACAATACAACATACTGGAACTTAAGAGGCATAATGAACGCAGACCTAAGGGGGAAATTTATAGCAGTGGATACCCATATCAGGAAAACACACAAAAAAAATTTTTTTTTTTGGTACTAGGGATCAAACTCACAGCCTCATGCTTGCTAGGCAGGCACTTGTTCTGCTGAGCTGTATTTCCAGCCTGCAAATAAACATCGTTTTGAGACAGGGCTTCCCTATGCAGTTCAGGCTACCTGAGCACCTTTTGTAGCGCAGTGTGATTTTGAACTCACAACAATCCTCCTGCCTCAACCTGCCGACGCTGGGATTACCACCACACCTGGCTACAAATAAGTATCTTAATGTTGAACCTCAAAGTTTTTTTTTTCTTTTTTAAACATTTTTTTTGACTACATGAAGATCTTGTTTCTTTTTGTTTTTCTGTTTTTGGTGCTGGGGGTTAAACTCAAAACCTTGTGCTTGCCAGGCAGGCACTATATGCTACTGAGTTAAATCCCCAACCTAAACCTCAAATTTTTTGAAAAGGAAGAGCAGGCCAAGCCCCAAAGCTGATGAAGGAGGAAATCATAAAGATGAGAGGAGAAATTAATGCACTAGAGACTAAGAAAACAATACAAAGAATCAATGAATTGAAGAGATCTGTTTGAAACCTCTAACTAACCTTATCAAAAAAAAAACAAAGAAAAGACTCAAATTCATGCAATTAGAAATGAAAAGGGTGAAATCCAAATGGATCCTGAAGAAATCCAGAAGATCAGCTATCCCTACTTTGAAAACTTGTATTCTGGGGCTAGGGATTTAGCTCAGCGGCATAAGCACCTGCCTTGCAAGCAGGCGGTCATGAGTTCGATCCCCAGTACTGATAAAAGGGGAGGGAGGAGAAAACTTGAATTCTAATAAGATGGAAAATGCAGAAGAAACACAGATTCTTAGGTATATATGAATCACCAAAGCTGAATTAAGATATAAAAATCCTAAATAAACCAATATGAATCAATGAAATTGAAGATGTAATTAAAAACCTACCAACAAAGAAAAGTCCATTGCTGGGAATTCATTGCCACAAGAAATTTAGAGAAAACTTAGCATCACTATCTCTCAAACTCTTTAATGAAACTGAAAGGGAAGCAATATTCCTGAATTCATCCCTGGAAGCAAGCATTTCTCTGATTCTGAAACCAGAGAAGGAACCAACTAAGAAAGAACTACAGCCCAATTTCCCTAATGAACATAGATGCAAAAATCTTCAATAAGATACTGGCAAACAGAATGTAGCAAATCAAGATGATTATACACCATGACCAAATTGGACTTTTATCAGAGGCATGCAGGGATGTTTCAACAAATGTAAATCAAGAAATGTAATATACCATATCAACAGAACCAAGGATTAAAAATCATACGATCATCTCGATACAGAAAAAGTTTTTGACAAAGTCCATCAACCATTCATGATAAAAGCCCTACAGAAAACTGGAATAGATGGTCTTTATCTCAATCTGATAAAAAGCCACCTATGCCAAATTAATAGTCAACATCCTACCAAATGAACAAAAACTGAAAGCTTTCATGTAACATCAGGAACAAAGCAAGGATGTTCACTGTCACCACTGTTCTGGAAACTGTAGACAAGAGAAAAAATAAAAAAGAATAACAATAGGAAAGGGAAAAGTTAAATTACCATTATTCGTCATTAGCATTAAATTACCATTATCAATGTCATGATACTCTACATAGAAGATCCCCAAAACTCCACAAAACGAGTTCAGATTTAATTAGCAAATTCAGCAGCATAGCTGGATACAAAAATCAACACTCAAAAATCAATAGCCTTTCTGTACATGGATAACAAACTTACTGAGAAAGAAAGTAGGGAAACACTTTCACAACAGCATTAAAAAAATGAAATATTTAGGAATCAACCTAATAAAGGATGAAAACACCTATACTTTGAAATCTACAGCGCTCTGAAAAAGTAGATTAAAGACTGTATCAGAAAATGGAAAGATATGCCTTGCTCTTGGGTAAGAGGAACTAATACGATGAAAATGATCATACTCCCAAAATTGTTATACAAATTGTTTAATGCAATTCTGATCAAAATTCCAAAAGCATACCTCACAGAATTAGAGAAAACAACCCTAACATTCATTTGGAACGTGAAGACACCTAGAATAACAAAGGCAATTCAGGGCAACAAAGGCAAGACAGGGGGCATTACAATCCCAGACTTGAAATCATATTACAACGCTACTGTGATAAAAACAGCACGGTACTTGCAAACAAACAAAAACAGATCCAAGGATCAATGGAATAAATTAGAAGATCTAGAAACAATTCCAGACATACTTAGCCACTTTATCTTTGACAAAGATGCCAAACATTCACTGGAAGAAAAACCCGTGTCTTTCCCCATGCACTAAACCCGAAATGGATCAGAGATCTATATATTAAAACAGAAACATTAAATCTGCTGGGAGACTGAATAGCTAGTTCTCTTAAAGACTCTGATATAGGCAAAGACTTTATAAACAAAACTCTGATTGCATAGCAGCTATCATCAAGAATCAACAACTGGGATCTGATCTTATTAAAAAGAGAAACCACCAGAGTGCAGAAACAACCCACAGTGTTGGGAAAGAAGTTTGCCAGCTGTTCCTCAGACAAAGGATTACTATCAAGAACATGTAAAGAACAACAACAACAAAAAAAATCAGATCACCAAATTTAAAGACCCAGTCCCAAAGTGGGTACCTTGGTCCAGGGATATAGCTCAGTGGCAAGCACAAGGTTGTGAGTTTGATTCCCATTAAAAACAAACAAACAAACAAACAAAAAACCCAACAAAAGTAGGCAACTAAGCCAGTAGGCAGCTCTGGCATGGTGGTGAATGCACTCTTGTAATACCAGTGAGGCTGAGGCAGGGGCAGGATGACTGCTGTGAGTTTGAGACCAGCCTGGGCTACATAATGAGTTCAGGACCAGCCTGAATTACATCATACGACCCTTTCTCAAAAAATCTAAATGAAAACCAAATCAAACCCAAAAATGTGCATCTCAGATGAATACACACTTCTAAGATGAAGAAATAGAAACAGGAAATAAATACAAATAAATGTTCAATGTCACTGAGTATTTGAGAGATGCAAATTAAAACAACACTGAGAGTCCATCTCACTCTGAAAAGAATGGCTAGTATCAAGAAATCAGCCATTAACAAATGTCAGGCTGTGAAGAAAAAGGAACCCTTCTCCACTATTGGTGAAAGCATAGACTGGTGTAACCACTGTAGATATCAGTATGGAGATTCCTCAAAAAACTAGGACCAGAGGTTCCATTTGACTCAGCTATTCTCCTTCTGGGTATCTTCCTGAAGGAAGTAAAAGCATCATACCAAAACAATATATGTGCTTCATGTTTACAGTGGCACAGTTTGTAACAGCCAAATCTTAGAACAGCCCAAATGCCCATCAGCTGGTGAATGGATAAAGAAAATGTGTTTTTTAATACAATGGAGTACTACTCCACCACAAAGAAGGACAAGCTGGAGCCATTCCACTTAGCTTAAGTGAAATAAACTGCATATATATGTGCAAATTCCACGTTGTTTCTCTGGTGTGAGAAACAAAGTATAAATAAGGACCATAATATATACAAATAAGGACCAAAATATTATGCATTGTGAAATAGGAATAAAATGTTCAAATGGGGATCGAAACAAAAGGGAAAGGGGGAATGGAGAGCAAAAAAAGTTAGAAAAGAAGGAAAAAATGGAAATAAAGCTTTTGTAAAATGGGAGGCAAGGAGTTGAAGGGAAGGCAGCGGGGGCAGGGGAAAAAAGAATCAAATTATATCATGTACAGGTATAAATTCTCTATGATGAATGTGATCATTACGCATATTTAAAATGTACAAACAAAATCTGATTGAAAAAATAACTCAGCTATATCCTCATTTTCTGGGAACACCTCTTTAAAAACTACTAGTACCTTTGGGGCTGGGGATTTAGTTCAGCGGCATAAGCGCCTGCCTTGCAAGTGTGCGGTCCTGAGTTCAATCCCTGATACCGATAAAAAAAAAAAAAGACAAAAACCAAAACAAACAAACAAACAAACAGTACCTTTAGCCTTCCTAGAGGACAATTCGAAAGGCTTTATGGAAAGTCATCATAATGAGTGCATCCTGCTAAATGAATGAACTACCAACCTATATTCAGGGGATGAAACATGGTGGCACATGGTACATTAAAGCACACCAGATGTGATCAATATTACATGAAGAGAAAACATCACACCAGGAAAAATAAAATTTCAGGGGAAGAGGCCATGTATCAGCAAACAGAAGGCAGCAGACCTACCATGAGCCAGGGACATGGACCTTGGGGTCAGACAAGTCGGCTCCGATTTCCAGTGTTTTCACTAATAGCTGTGGTACACTGGGCAAGTGACTAAACTGCGTGAAGAATGGAGCAAACACTGTCAGCAGTACTACAGGACACGGGCAAGTGGGCTGCAGCAAGGAGCGTTGGGCTCAGCACACATGGAACGTCTGCTCCCTAACAGCCTAGGTACACAGTTAGCTCTAGTTTGGGATTAGCCTAAAGAAACTTCAAAAGTGGCTGACAGCAGGCCAAAAATACATCTATTTGTAAGCCCAGGTTAAAGCTGGAAAGGGATTACACAGTCACTGGTCCACATGCTATCTTATATGCTCCTTGAGAAAATGAAGAGTTGGCTGCTTCTCAAACCAGATAAAGGTTTTTTAAACTACAGGCACAAGCCAGTCATTCTAAGCTTCCATGGGCCCTTCCATCTGAAGCTCACTAGGTCTCTCTAGGTTAGTAGGCAGGGATGATTTTTAAAGCCACTGGTGTCAGAGAGCTAAATTCTACTTGACTGAACCACACTATGAGCCGTTTTACCTCCTTTGAGGACTAGATCCCCCGGGACGGGCCTCAGCCCGTAGTCCTCTATCCTCTTGCTCACCATGTTATTCCATACATAGCTTTGATAGCTATGGATATACATTAAACGATTATTTCTCGGTATCTGGAGGAAGGGAAAAAAAAAGGCAAGAAAAATATTCTGAATATAAAATGTACTGTGATTTCTAAGACATCTCATTTGTTTAATGATGATCCCAGTATCAGAAACTTACTTTTTAACAGCCTGTAGAAACACTCACTGATACAGAGCTCTGAATATTAGAATGTGAGACCTAAAGCTAAGGGCATTACTGTGGCAGCAGTTAACATTTTATATCGGCAATGTACACATGCATGCAAATGAAACAAACTGCTGAGGAATTTATACCCTAAATCAAGACACAGACTTTAAACTCAGGCAATTTAAAAATCAATTATAGGCCTAACAGTTTTTTCTCCTCCATAATTCTATATAAGGAGAACACCCTCAATGCCTAATTTCTTGCAGTGAGAATCCTGCTTTATTTGTACATCTGGGAAGAAGCAACTATGCAAGTTTAAAGGATACATTTTAACACATCCTAGAATATAAGAGTGGCAGAGGCTATGCTTGCCAAGATGGCACCCATTCTGGGCCACCGTGATAAAACCCTAACAGGCAACTATTTAGACTGTTGCAGTCCATTCTCTTCTTAGGGAAATTGACAGCTCTAAGGATGACGACCAAGAAACAACTATGCAGTATACTCCGAGTTTCTCAAATCTTCAATTTAATTTTCCACCAGAAACCATATTTTGCACATTAATGCCTCTCATTCCCTCAGCAGTGCCGATGCTGCCCCCGCCCACCTTCTTGACTCCATTCGGGTCTGAGTAATGATCACTAGGATAAAACACCTCTTGGAAATCATCAAAGGATACTTATTTACCTTCTGCTCTTTCAAAATTTAGTAAAATCTTCCAAGACAAAGTTTAAAAAGCATTAAACACCTTGGGCCATTGCCTGACTTCACAAATCACACTCACTATGCCAAATGCAGAGACTATATTCTTCATTCCATATTTTGAAAGTCCTCGAAGCAGCTGCCCCTCCACACACCTTTTGACAGGTAGTTTTTTGAGGGCAGCAGCTGGGTCCTTGGTCTTCGCCCATTCTTCCCTGCATTTAACCAAGTACCCTTTTTCAGCTGGGGAAGGAAAAAAGCTATGATTAAACAGTTTGTCCAATAGATGCTCTTCCAACATAGCGTATTTCACAGGGAACACATAACATAGGTTATCTGCAGTGTTCTGCTCAGCTGAGAGCAGCTGCAAGAAAGCTTTCTTTAAAGAGTGGTGAATGTGATCCCCTTCCTCCACCCCACAAACACTATTTACTCCTGTCTTCAGAGTTGATTCCACAGCAGATAAAAGCCTGGTAATCCTTTCTTCCTGTTCTTTTTCCATTGTATAATGGGTAATGGGTTACTTTCTTTAAAGTTACGTAATTTGGGCTGGGGATTTAGCTCAGCAGCACAAGTACCTGCTTGGCAAGCATGAGGTTATGAATTTAATCCCTGGTACCAAAAAAAAAAAAAAAAAGGTACATAATTTTATGTTTTCTTTCTTTTTTTTTGCTTGCAGAGGAATAATTATCCAAAGTGAATATAATTATTTTGACAATTTATAAAGTGGGAGTTAAATCTTTTATACACTATGATTTTAGAGATACTTTCTGGAAAATGGTTAGTAAACTTTAAAGAAAATGTTTTTTGTGGTACTTGGGATTGAGTCCAGTCTTGCTAATGCCAGACAAATGTTCAATACTACTGAGCTAAATCCCCAGCCTTCTTTATTAGACAGGCTCTTGCTAAACTGCCTAGCCTGACTTGAAGGTATAACCTTCATTTGCAGTCTCTGGAGTGGCTGGGATTATAGCAATGTACCAGCATGCTGGGTCTTTTAGTGAACTTTTAAAACTTTATAAGTCTCAATAAACTACCTATACTTTTAATTTTAATGTAGAAATACAATTCTAGTTGAAGGGAGGGGAGGGGAATGAGGAAAAAAAAGAAGCAAAATATATTGTGTACGCACAAATTCCTTACAATATTATCATTCTGTACATCTAAAATGTACCCGCCCCAATTCTAAAAGTAACTACCCCAATTTGCACATATAAAGTGTGATAGAAAAGTATGGTAGGGCTGAGGATATAGCCTAGTGGTACAGTACCTGCCTAACAAGCACAAGGTCCTGAGTTTAATTCCTGGTACCCAAAGGAAGGAAGGAAGGAAGGAAGGAAGGAAGGAAGGAAGGAAGGAAGGAAGGAAGGAAGGAAGGAAGGAAAGTAAGTTTAAACTAACAAAACACTTACACCTGGGTATGATGGCACATGCCTGTAAACCCAGCACTTGTGTGACTGAGCAAGGAGGAGCCCCACAAATTCAAGGCCAGGCTGGGTTACATAATGAGGCTCAAGGCCAGCCAGCACTGCGTGACAAAACTTTGCATCCAAGGAGGACAGGGGGAGCAAAAAACAAAAACAAGAAAAAACAACCAGACGTGTCTGTAAGTCCTGCTCAAAATCCTCCCCCTGACTTCAAACACACTTATCCCATCATTCTGGCACTTTCTGGAGCAGTTTTGGAAGTCCACTTTTATAAGCATCATTAGTTGGGCTGTCACGGCTACCGCGATGTCCTTAACTGGTTCAAAAATGTTTACTCTCCAGGATCATTCTGACGTTGGGGAAGAGCCAGGAATCACACCCGTGTTTCTACAAGCTCACTTTTCTATTGGATGCCACGAAGGAGAAACATGTACTGAATTTTTGATTATACCTCAGAAGGACAGTCCTAAAACTGAAGACTGCTGAATTCCTGAACTGCTTTAGAGAGAAGCAAGAATGAAGGAAAAGCGTGCTTGAACCTAGAGGAAGTATTTTGAGGGGGATTAATAACTATGTTTTACTGTAATACACTGTATGTATGTATGGATGGATGGATGTGTTTGTTTGCACACGTTTAACTGATGACCTTGTGCTTGCCAGGCAGGCGCTCATGCCACTAGTCTATACTGTAACACATTTTAAAAAGTCAAAACACTCACAGTATTTCCAACTCACAATTTTTTTGGTTTGTTTTTGAGACGGGCTCTCACTATGTAGCTGAGGTAGCTATGAGCTCCTGATGGAGCCACCATGCCAGAAACACACACACTTCTACTGGCAGAAACTCCATGAACACCCAGCCATGCACTGTTCCTTTTCTCTCTCAAGTTTTTTTTTTTTTTTTGGGGGGGGGGGCCCACACAGGGACTGAACCCAGTGTTAATACTATCCCACTGGAGTAAATCTCCAACCTCATTATTGTTTTAAACATGAAGTTTACTCTTACCTCCAGAACGGGGTTTTAGTATTAAATCCATGACTTCTGTCCAGGAATTCTGAAGAATAGCTCTAAGATTTAAAACAATATTTACTTTACTAACTTTTGTATTAAGATAAACTTTACATGCCAAAATATTTGGTCAACAAAATGTATTGGCTTTATATTAAATTTAAATGTACATACAAAATTAGAATATAGATTTTAAATGTAAATGCCAAAAAAACTAGAAAAATTGAGAATAAAATTAAAGGACAATGCTTATAACAATTAATACCATTTTATTGCTGTAACAAATATATAAGCACTACCTAGTTGTATTTGTACTTTGTGTTATTATACAGGGGACAGTTACAGAAAGTCTATTGTGGTGGTGGTGCTAAAGATTAAACCCAGGGCCTCACGCATGTTGGGCACATGTTCTACGAATGAGCTACCCCACTAGCTCAAAGTTAAGTCTTCGTGAGAGCCAAACCTTGTTTGAAATTGCTCAAAAACTTTCTCTTTGTTACCCTACCTAGGCAAACAGAATACTACAATTAATTCTTCTTCATTATTCTTGCCAAAATGGAAATATCTTTATTTTGGGGTACTACTTGTTAAAAATTACATAGTACATGAGAAAGCCTTTCCATTATGCAACCTCTAAGAAATAAAACAATGTCAATATAGTATTCTTCAGGGCCAGGGATTTAGCTTAGCAGCCAGGGATTTAGCTTAGCAGCATAAGCACCTGCTTAGCAAGCCAAGGTCAGGAGTTCAGGCCTTAGGATCAAAAAGAAAATACACACACACACACAACAGAGTATTTTTTCCTACTCAAGCACACCTAAGTGTATGTAACTTTTCCTTATACTATCTTTTACCATGCAGAATTTATATTTTGAGTATTATGCCTGGTAATTTTTCCAGTGCCTCACACCTATCATCCTAGCACTTGGAAGGCTGAGACAGGAAGACTGTGGTGAGTTTGAGGTCAGCCTGGGCTACATAGTGAGACCCTGCCTCAAAAAAAGAAAAGAATTTTATTCTGGAGTCATGCTTCTCTATCAAGAAAACAGAGAGAAAAAAGGGAAGAAAACAGAGAAATCCCTTCTATTAATTTTTATTTTTCCACTTCATTGTTTTTTTAAATTTTCATGTCTAAGCCCATATATGGGATATTTCTGAACATGAAATTACCTGAGATGCTATTACATGTTTCACTGATAAGACTAATATAAAGAAATCATTTCCCCTCCAATACTGTAATTACAGTCATAGATTTCCTATTGTTGACCACCCTTTGTCCTGGAACCAGCCCCATTACAAAAGGCTCTAGGTCTCCTCCCAGTGGGACACAATACCCAGTGGGCTCAGCTCCTAACACCGAGTCTAAGGAGTACAACGCTAACTCAGCAGTAGGCATAGGTCTGCCTGGCATGCTGTGTAAACTTAGCACGTATGCTATGCTATGTAAAATGATATGCGGCCTGCAGGTCACATCTGGTTGGGCTTTTTAATTTACTTTTCTATTTCTGAGATAGGGTCTCGCTATGTAGTTCAGGCTGGCCTTGAACTCAAGTGATGGCATATCCAGTCCTAGGATTATGGGCATGGCCACCACGTCTGGCTCTGACATTTGATTTATAAACAAACTAACTGGAAGTTGTCCATGGCTATTTTCATACTGCAACACCAAAACTGGTGAGCTGCAACAAATACTCTAAGGCCCGTAAGGCCTACATATTTATCATCCAAGCTTTTACAGAAAAACCCTGCCAAGCACTGGGGAAGCTGAGGCCCAAGGATCACAAGTCCAAGGTCAGCGTGGGGTACAAAGTAGAACATGAAACCCTGTTTCAAAACACAAAAACGAACACTGCCAACAGCTGGAGTAATAATCCAGTGCTACCTGCCAGACTCCTCGCTGCTATGCACTGTGGAGGCCTGGTGCCCACCGTCACATGGACGTCCACAGGCGCTCACCATAATCTCACAGCACTCTTCTTATTCCACCTCCCCTTCTCCACCCTGATCTTACTATGGTAAAAATACACGTATTTATTTTAGAAACTTTCATGTGCTCAGTTCTGTCAGACTGTACCCATGGGTTCTTGCCACCACAGGCACAATGCATCTCCAGAACTTTCTAATCTTCCCTAGCTGAACTGTCCCCTCAAGGGAGAACTCCCTGCTTACCTCTCCCACAAGCTCTGGCAGTAGCCACCCGCCCTCCCATGACTGGCTTCTCTGGGAACTGCACACTATCTGCTCTTTTGTGACTGACTCATTTCAGTTAATTTGCAAGGCATAGCTGTACTGTAGCATCTATAAGTATATATTTATATTTTTTCAAACAGGGTCTTGCTATGTAGTTCAGGTTGGCCTTGAATTCATGGTGATTCTCTTGCCTCAATCTCCAGAGTGCTAGGATTACAGGCATGTACCACCATGCTCAGCTAAAAATTCTTTTTAAAGGCTGAATTATATCCCACTACTACACACACACACACACACACACACACACACACACACGCACACACAAACACAATTTTCTTTATTCATCATGGGCATTTAGGTTGCTTCTATCTTGTTATTGTGAAAAATGATATTACTCACATAATAATTATATCACAAGCATGAATATACAAATATGAGTTCATTCCTCTTTCCCTTGTTTGGGGTATGCATCCCAAAGTGCAACTCTAGGTCAAATGATCACAACACACCTTTCGTTTAGGTCTTTGAGAACTACCATGCTGTTTCCACTCCTACCAGCTGGGGACAAGGGCTCCAGCTATACACCCTCACTGCCACTTACTGGGCTTGGTGCCAGCCATCCTAACCAAGTGACACGGTGCCTAAGGCCTAGTGGTAACTGACACTTGTCTTTTTAAGTGTTGGCCATTTGTGACTCTTTGGAGAAGTATCTACTGAAGTCCTCTGCCCATTTCTGCATTGTTTTTAGCTTTTATTAAATCTGTAGTTCTTTTCATTTTCAAGATAAAAGTCTTTTTATTAAACATATGGTTTGGAAGAAAAGAGAAACAAAATTTTTTAGAAGTTTTGTTTGTTTTGAGCTATCTTGTTACACAGCTTTGCTGGCCTCAAACTTGCAACAATCCTCCTGCCTGAGCCTCCTGAATGCTGGGGTTACAAATGTGGGCCATCACTCCTGGCCCTAGCAGTTTTGAACTTGACATCTTCCTGCTTCAGCCTCCAAATAGCTGAAATTACAGACGTGCTACTACACCATACGAGATACCCTGTCCATTAATAGTTACACCCTACTGGCCCTGCCACAGCCCTGTTTCTAAAGACTTGCCCATTTTGGCTATTTCATCCCAATGAATTATATACACTGTGCAGGCTTTTCTGACTTCACTTACTGCTTTCACACAGAAAGGGAACATCATTCCTTTGTCTGTATACCACATTTTGTTTATCCATTCTTTTTTTTTTTCTTTCTTTTTTTGTACCGGGGAGTGAACTCACAACCTTGTGCTTGCCAGACAGGTGTTTAGGCCACTGAACTAAATCCCAGGCCCTACTCATTTATTATTTGATGGGCTTGGGATATTTCTACTTTCTGGATGCCATAGGTGAATTTTTGTGTGAGTGCAAGGTATTGGGCTCTTTCAGTATACAGCACACAATGTAGTTTCTCGGTCAGGTGGTAATACCATACTTAACCCTTCAAGGAACTACTAAGCCACTTGCCAAAGCAGCTGCATCACCTTACATTCCACCTTCAATGTATGAGCTCCAGTTCCTCCAGAACTTACTCAACACCTATGATTTGTTTTACGTTAGCCCACAGGGCGGTCTCTCACTGTGGACTTGCCATTTCTGCGATGATCTCCAGAGTTGAGCATCTTTTTCCGTGCCTTTTGGCCATTTATCAAGCTAGCAGACTCTAGCTTCAGAATGGGTTACCTTTTTTGTTGTTAAGCCTAAGACATCTTTGCATTCAAGTTATTTTACCTTTATTTGGCTGCACTGGGGGCTGAACCCATGGTCTTTGCACTGAACTTTATCTCCCAGTATGCCCTATCTCTCTTCTCTTTTAGAGAGGGTCTAAGTTCCTAAATTGTCCAGTCTGCACTTGAACTTGTGATCCTCTCGCTTCAGCCTGCCAAGAGTGCTGGTACTGTGGGAGTATACTACTATGTTGCTTTTAACTATAAACTGAGATTTTTGCTCTTTTCTTCAGGAGATCATTCAGTGACTGAGCTGACTTTTTTGAAGACAGGAAATACTACGTTCTGAGAGTGTCTGTTTTGCATTTTGAACTGCCTTTGTACTGACTTTTGGGCAGGTTACACAATCATTGTTCCTGGAAAACTACAGACTCTTTTCAACTAGCTATTTATATCATTAGCTCCCCCCACCAGTGGTACTTGGGATGGAACTCAGGAACTCCTAAGTACTAGGCAAGTGCTCTGTTGCTAAGTTATACCCGCAAATCTCTTCACATTTTATTTTGACAGAGGGTCTTGCTATATTGCTCCGATCTGCTCTGAACTTATGATTCTCCTGTCTCAGAAACTAAAACAGCTTGGATTCCAGATGCGAATCAGAATGTTTAGCCTACATGAATTAACTTTGGAGTGCAAAGATTATAGGACATTACGTTGTCCTTCTGCAAAATTACTTATAAATATGCAGAGTGACACAACCTTCTCTTAAAATGTTCTGTCCTATAAAACAATTAGCTTCTTTACTATTTTATCCATGTGTTTAATTATCAGAAAGGCTGGACAGATTTTTCTACTATTACAAAGTTACTATAGGTAACTTCTTGGCAATGTTTTTTTCTTTGGCTAACATATTTTTATATATGTAATTATAATTTAAGAGACAGAGTCTTATGTTGCTCAGTCTAGCAAAAACTCCTTGGCTCAAGCAATGCTCCTGCATGCTGTTTTGATTTCACAATATTACTTTCCATTTATTTGATCACTAACTATACACATAGAAACAGATGCTAAAAAGCCCCCGTCTCACTTTCCTTTCACTGCCCTGTGAGGTTGGTATTATCTGTATTAATTTTAAGTAACAGATCTTTATTAATTTGAGTAACTAAAGGCTGAGAAATCGTCTACTTCTTCTGCCTACACTGTGATTCTTCACAGCACCAGTTTTAAGAGGTAGAGAAAAATACGTGACAGAATTTATCGTTTTGTATTTCTAGGTTCACAAAAGCAAATTCAAGTTTATACAATTAGCTGCAGAAAAAAAAAAAAATTAACTGAACTCAGTAAGACTTTATTCCCAGGATTCCAACTGAGAACGAGTGAGCTTGGCCAGGCCTCCCTGAGCCTAGTTCGCACCTCGCTAAAATGACGGCCTGCAACACAGAGAAGGATTGCTTCCAACCTGCAGCTGCCACCATTCTAACTCACGGTACAAGGCCTCACAGAACACAGTCTCTGCTGGGCTTTGTGATGCAAGTATTGACGTCTGGATTTCTAATCCACTTTATCCTAGGGGAGATTCTCATTACCTAATAATGAGTCAGAGTGCCTAAATTAAATTCTACTTCATTAATTTTATCCCTTACCATTTTTTTGAAAGTGCAGGGGAAGGACATTTCAAAGTTTAATAACTGGGAATCACTTGTGTGCACAGATCATAAAGCACACCGTCTCCATTGAGCTACTCTAGATCTGAGTTACCCACTTCCAGAGCCCAGATTTATTTGTTAAAAAAATTTTAAAAAAACCAAACACACAACAAAAAACCTTAGAGAGGTTATAAATGGTGGGAGAAAAATTTCCTCCAGGTCATATCTTTTTGACCTCTGATTTCTACTTTGTACATGGATTATCTTAAACTAGAACAAAACTTAAAAAGACGCTATAGTTCAGTGGTTCAACTGCCATAAACAAGAAAAAATCTAGAAATACTTTATGAAATTAAATACTAACCTTCCAACTTGGTATGTAGGGACGGCTGTTGTTCCAAATCTTTGCATTCCATAGTAGTTAATAAATCCAATGTCCCTCAGAGAGTTCATAGCTTGCTGGACTTGGTCATCAGTTCCTGTTATATTCCTGCAAGCACCCAAATTATCCAGAGAAAAAACATCCCCAAACACATATGGGAATGTGCATCTCAAAGGAGTATGGTGTGGCCTCCATGTCTGTCAGCTGAAGCTTTTTGTTCACCTCCTGGGGGCTCTTTGTTAATTGTTATAATACAGTAAACTTACATTTCAGCTGTTTTCAAATATATAATCCAGGGGCACTGAGTATATTCATCATGTTGTACAACCCTCCCCATTCTCTACTTCTTTAACTTTGGCAACTTCCCAAACTTTGACTAGACACCCACTGTCCTTGCCCCGAAGAACTGTCACTCCACTTCCTGTGAGTTTGCCTGTTTTAGACAGCTCATGTAGTCAAGAGTGCTTTACCTCTTCACACAGTATTTGAAGATTCAGCGGGACAGGACTGCCTGTCGGTGCAAACACTACTGAAGGATTTGCCCTCCCAGCTCTTTTGGCTCTGCTCTGCCCTCCTAAGCCGTATCTGATAGTAACTCATGATCAAGTGATCTGGCCAGACACCCACAGGTTCTATGTTCACAACTGTGATTCTTTACCTGAGAACTACAGTGAAGTGATTTCCTTGGAGCTCTCCCAACTTCAGAGGGTTTTTTTGATAGCTGAAATTTCCTAGCTTGAAGTTCATCAAGCACTTATTCAGGTGGGCAAGTCTCTGTGCAGATATTCTTTAAAAAAATAAAACAAAACAGAGAAGATCATGAGATACTGTCCAAAACAGTCTAGATCATCTTCTGACAGAGAACATCACTACAGCACAGCAGTGCCCCAGCCGGAAGGGGCAGGCACGGTGGAAGATGGGGCGCACCACACATTTCCTGTCCCTGAATGTTCCCTGGCATAGGGTGCCTGTTTCAACTAGGATGCTGTGGCCTGTGCCCCACTTTACATCGTCAAGTCCCTTTGTTATTTCAACAGTGACAAATAATAGAACAATAAACAGTATTGGTAGAATATTCTACTTTGGGATGAGAAAAAGCGATTGGCAGAGAACAATCTCACATACCACAAAGAATTAAATCAAACATTAAGAAAAGGGTAAGTTGCAGATTTGTCTATCAGAAAAATGTTGTAAGCCCATTTTAGAAAACTTGGAAAATACAAAAATGCAGGCAGAAAATTTGAAAAGGTTCAACCCTTTAGGGTAAATCTGTTATATCTATCTATGTATCTAGAGTCCTCTCACAAATCACTATGCTGCTTCTGTTTCTTACAGCATTACAAAATTTTCAAAAAGGAATTTCACCTTCTTAAATAGAAAATCTATGTAGGAAAACACACCACATTGAGAACCCTTTCTGTCCAGCCCCAGGCCCTCGCCACTTGCAGCTGACTGTAAGTTTATGTTCCTCCCAGTGCACTTGCTATGTACACAGAAACGTGTTTCCTCACTTTCTTATAAGCCTTATCTGTGTTTTATGTACAGAGAAATATGATTCATAAATGTTAAATTTATGGATGTCATTAAGATGAACACAATCACTTGACAAGCCACCAGGTCCTTTTTTTTTTTTTTTTATTTTAAAGAGATTAAGATAAAAGAGGACAGAACAAAGCAGATCAGAACAGAACAATGTAAGCAACACAGTATTTCACAAGACAACCCAATATTAACAGTAGCTACCCTAATGTCTCTTTCTTTGAAACAATTGAGCGTCAGGTCCTCTTTTTTAAAAAGCAAATTCTGCCACATTATAAATTGTTTAGCACCTTTGTTTTAGTTATTTAAGAACATTTTCTAGAAGACAGGCACCATGACACATGCCTAAAATACCAGTACTCTGCGAGGCTGAGGCAGAAGGATTCCAAGTTTGAACCTAGCCTGGGTCACTCAGAAACTTGGTGAGACCCTCAAAATTAAAAAAGACATGGGATGTAGCTCAGTGAGCAGGGCCCTGAATCCAATCCTCAATGACACACACACACACACAGTACTTAGAAACTGGCCTCACCTTGGCACAGTGGCACAGAATGGCTGCACATGGCATGCATGTGCCACCCTTTATTTCATCAGTCTTCTCTGGTTTTGTTTCTCAGTACTGACAGTTGAACTTAGATGCTCTCCTGCGCCAGGCAAGTGACATACCGCTCAGCTACATCCCCAGCCTTTATCAGATTTTTTCTTTTGAGACAGTCACACTAAGCTGCCCGGGCTGGTCTTTGAAACATTTTTTTTTTTTTTTTTTGTCTTTTTTGAGGCAGGGTCTCACTATGCAGTTCAAGCTGGCCTTGAGCTCACTTTGTAGTCCAGGTTGGTCTCAAACTCGCAAAGATCCTCCGACCTCAGCCTCCCGAGTGCTGGGATTACAGGCGTGAGCCATCACACCCAGCTCCAGGCTGGTCTTGAACTTGTGATTTTCCTGCTTCAGTCTCCTACTTGTGATTACAGGGGTGCACCACTACATCCAGCTGACCTGTCTCCTTTTGGATGAATAAATTGCTCCCACTCTTTTGCTATTTACAAATAATTCTCTAACAAATATCCTTATATGTAATTTTTTCCCCCTAGAACTGGCAATCAAACTCAGGAACTTGTACTTGCCAGGAAGGCGCCATGCTGCTAAACTATATCCTCGGCCCTAGCCAATTTTTTTTCCTTCCCTTGTATGCATTTCTTTGCTCACTTTCCCACGTTATGTTTAGGATAAGGCCCTAGAAGGGGGTGGATTTGGTTTTAACCTTTGTCTTTGTCCAGGGAGATTACACACATTCACACTCAAACCTTAGTACACGAGGAGCTCACTGCCTCACCCCAGGTCAACTTCTTGCTAAGCTGGCTATGGCTAAGTACAGACCCTCAAAGTCCCCAGAGTGCAAGCCTGGTCCTTAGTGTGCCATGCCAGGAGGCACAGGGGTCCTCGGGAGGGACTGGGGGTATGTCCTGCACTGCCCAGGCAGCACCCTGAGAGAGCCATGCTGACAGCTGATCCCCAGCCGCTTGGGATCTGGCATGTGTCTACTTGCTCCCTCTGGCATGTGAAGCTCTCAGAGCCATTTGAAGCCAGTGCCATGCTCCTGTGTGTGCTGAGCCTTCAGCTGAATTCACCTCCTATTTACAAATACCCAGCCTCACACATCTCCTAGTGATACACGAGCATATTCCTATACCCCAGGACAGGTAGCACAAATCTTTTTCTTTGAGCTAAAGAAAGAAGTTTTTTTGAGACAGTCCCACTGTGTAGGTCAGGCTGGCCTCAAACTCACTATGGATTTCTGGCTGGCCTTGAAGCCTCCTAACCCAGCTTACCAAATGTTGGGACTACAGTTGTGTGCCACCATGTCCCATACAAATTTATTTTTTCTTCCTCTCCTCCTCTCCTCCTCTCCCTCTTTCTTTCTTTCTTCCATTCTCTCTCTCTTTCTTTCTCTCTCTCTCTCTCTTTCTTAGACAGCACCTTACTATTTAGTCCAGGCTGGTCTCAAACTCACTAAGCTCAGGCTGGCCTTGAACTCATGGTGTTCCTCCTGCCTCAGCATCCCAAGTGCTGGGATTATAGGTATGTACTACTATACCCAGCAAATCTTTTTGAGCTTTACTAGGCTGCTCATATTCTATATCTTAAACCTGGGTAGTACAAACCTGTAATCGTGGTTACCTGATGCTGTTACTGTTAATATTTTGTTTATTCCCAGGTACATGGGAGACAGGCAGGAGGATTATACATTTTAGGCCAGCAATCTTGTCACCAAAAACAAAACAAAACAAAACCTTTGGATATAGCACAGTGTGATGGTCCTGGGTTCTATCCTCCCTCCATATGAGGAAGAGAATAAATAAATGTTTCTTTAGCTGCTTATTCACATGCCTTTTATGAGTGTGCTTAAGCCCATCCACACATTGTGACTGTGTTCATCTTGTTGCCTATATTACTATGGATTATTAATTTTTTTAAACATTACTAGAGACTGAACCCAGGAACCCCTGAGCTACAACCCGACCCCTTTTTCCTTTTGTTTGACATAGAGTTGTTAAATTGCCCAAGTTAACTTTGAACTTGTGGTCCTCCTGTCTCAGTCTCCTATGTGGCTAGGGTTATAGGCATATGCCACTGTGCTCAACCTAGTTTATACATTAAAGATTTCTACCTTACATCACACATTTTGCAAATACTCCTATTTTATGAGTTTATTTATATTTTACTACTGTATTCAGAAAACTTTCCCAATTTGAAGTAGAAAAAAAATTAAAATCAGAGAAAAGCAAACAACAAATAATCAACAGCTCTATACCTCTGACCTGGATTTACTGAGACTAAGGTTTGCGAGGCTTCCTTGCACTTTCTGTGTATTTATGACCCCCCAACATGAACACATGGGGGAGATGTATTTTCACTGAACCACTGAAGTGAGCCACAGGCACACGGCACTTTACCCTGCAGGACTGCAGTATCTCCTAAGAACAAGCAGAGTCTGCCTGCAACTCAATGGTCACCTTGGAAGCCAGATGTTATTCAGCACTGTCTCCTGCATGGGCCACATTTCTGCAAGTACCCAACATCATATAGGTGAGGAAGTTTTGTTTTCACAGCTGTTTGTTTTTGAGGCAGAGTACAGCTATGTAGATCAGGCTGCTCTTGCCTCATGAATTACTGTACAAGGCAGGAAGCCAGCCAGTGAAGCTGGGAAATGGGCGAAGCTTGTACTCCACCTCACTCTGTCCCCAAGGGCCACACATAACCCAGCAGAAGCTCAAAGGGGCAGGGCAGGTGCAGTCCAGAGGTGGACCAGCAGCTGAGAGGCATCAGGCCCAGGAGAAAAAGGGCACCGGACAAGGATGACAGCAGAACCAGGGGTACAAATTAATCCAGGAGCTACATACTCCATGGGATCTAGAAATCAGAGGGTGGGTCTGAACACAGTGAGGAGTGGGAGGATGGGACTCCTCTTAGTCAGGTGATGCTGCTGTAGGAACTGGCAAAATAATTCAAAGCAAAAGAAATCCAACTGTCAGCAATGAGGCTGTCCTGGAAAAACTCTAGTGACTGCTTTCTGACAGTGCTGGAGAAGTGCCTGACAACTCTATTATTTCCTTTTTCTTTGAGATAAAACTGACATGAAAGCAATCATTTTATGAGTTACAGTATATATATATATATACACAGATATATAGAGATTTATCAGGAATATATGTCATCACCATCTCAGCCCAAAACATTTACATCACCTGAAAAAGAAATGTCATGCAACGGGTCAGTCCTTCCCATCCCTTCTCTGCAGCCCCTAGTGATCATCAATCTACTGTCTGTAGGGTCCCATGTTGGGTATTTCATATATGGACTCATATAGTGTGTGGCCTTTTATGCCTGACTTCCTAATGTAGTGTTTTTAAGGTTTATGGCTGCATAACATTATCTTTCTTGAGTGTACAATAGACATTGTTTCTGAATCCCACCCCACCACAAAACCCTAGATCCATGATTAACTCTGGAAGGTGAGGGGCTCCCTGGGGAAATGCAAGACAAACCTGATAACCACCTCCTAGTACAGTTTAGTTCTAATTCTGATGACCATAGACCAAGCAAAGTCTCTGGTTGAAAATTCACAGGAATTTAAATGACTAGAGAACACCACAATCTCACTTGGAAACAGTGGGAGCCAACCTGACACATTATACAAACGTTTTATTAAGGAAGCCAGGGAAATACTGGCCCCAGCTCAGAAACAACAGGCAGGAAAAGAAACAAATCATTCTGAGTAAGACCGTCCTCCTTGAGATCCTGTTGAAATTTCTAAGTAGCTTTGGGTCATGAGAAGCTGGAAAGAACTGCTGCTTATCCCCCAACTGATCAATTCAGCAGTCATGAAAACCCTTGTGGGGCCGAGTGGGCTTGTCCTGTTTGTCCTGTTCTCACGGGAAAGCCAGCTGACCTGGCTCTGTGGACCCATTTAGCAAGCGAGAGTACAGCCTGTATCCGTGAGATAAGTGCTGTGTGCTTTCAACGGCCAGCACTAAGGTGTCTAGCACAGTGTCTCAGGGTCAACAGGAAAATGAGAAAGCAGCAAGTGTCCGAAAGGGCAGAACAGTATCCTGACCAAGTAGGACACCTGCCCAGCCGGCCTCCAATGTTCACGTTCCTGCCATAAAATGAAGTGAGACGCTACTTTCTGACTTTAGCAAATGATTTTCTTTCTTCCTGACAATGGGCTAAGAAGACTCTGAGAAAAGAGAATAAAGATGGTAACTGGTACACCTTTCCTTAGGACAAGTAGGTCCAGCCATCAGAACCATCAGCACTTCATATTCCCTTCTGCTCAGTAATTTTGCTGCAATGCCTTCCTGTGTGGGCTCCTGGGCGTTGAATCCAGGCTTTACACACACTAGGCAAGTGTTCTGCCACCAAGCCACATTCCCAGCCCTTTAATTTATTTTGAGATAGGGTCTTGCCAAAAATAGCTAAGTGGCATGAAACTTGTGACCCTCTTGCCTCAGTCTCCCAATTAGCTGGGATTACAGGTATAGGCCACCATGTCCATATCCTTGCACTTTTATCAGTAAAATACAAAACTTGGCGAGCATGAGGTCATGAGTTCAATTCCTACTTCCCCCACAAATATAAATATTAATATATACAAAAAAACTTATTTTTAAATTGAGGTAGAAAATTTTACTTAGCTAGCAGGAATTGACTACAATATTTTAGATACCAAAGACAAGGCAATGGGCTACAACAATGAATTCAAGGCCAGTTTGAACTACACAGGAAGACTGTCTCAAAATGACAACAATAACTGTAGCAATAACAATGAGAAGGCAAGAACCTTGAGTCCCATACCCAGGGTTTGGGAAAGTTGAAGCCCTTGAACCATTCTCCCCTCCACCCCTCTTCTGGGTTTTTGGTGAGCCCACTGGCCATTCTCAAGGGGCTCTTTCAAATCCACAGTCTCTATTAGTCAGCTTTGTGTCACTGTAACAAAATACCTGAGATAAGAGGCAACTTAAAGGAAGAGAGGTTTATTTTAAGCTTACAGATTCAGAGGCTACAGTCAATGGCCACTTGGCACCAGTGCTTTTAGGCCTGAGGTAAGGCAAAGTATCACATCAGAAGGGTATGGTAGGGGCTGGGGATTTAGCTCAGCAGCATAAGCGCCTGCCTTGCAAGTGTGCAGACCTGAGTTCAATCCCTGGTGGGAGGGTGGGGGAGAAAGGTATGGTAGAACAAAGCCATTCAGTTCATGGCAGCCAACGGGACAGAACAGAGCAAGAACTAGAGAGGAAAGGCTAGGGACCAGATACAGTCCTCACAGTCATGTGTTATAGCCTCCTTCTTCTAGCCAAGAGCCACCTCCTAGGAGCCTACTCAGCTCTGAACCCATCAGTGGCTAACTCGAAAAGAGGTGAGCATCCGCAGTCCAGTCCCTTTTCAGGATCTCTGAACCAGTCAAGCTGACAGTGAAGAGGAAGAGTTACAGTCTTTTCAAGGCCCTGCGAGTCACAGGGAGAGACCCCAGGCAGGACACCATCACCTTCGCTTCACTCTGCTCCCTCCTAATACACCAGCATGCACACAAATCATGGAAAAAGGGTTGCAAGGCTTCTACTTTGCTGTCAGCACTACATGCCATGGTGCCAGGCCAGGAAGGAGAAGGACTGGAATAATCCACTAGGATGCAGCACAGAACCCAACCACTGCATTACTCAAGTGAATCAGAAAATTGGCAGGAAAAGCCAGATTGTAGGGACTATGGGATGAAGAAGAAATGCCACCTTACCTTCCTTATGAAAAGATACTAGAGATATATTTTTTGTGGAGACTGAAACAGACGTTTATTTTAATTGCACTATAACTGACATACAGTAACATGCACATGTATCTAAAATGTGTAAGTTTGTTTTTGTTTTCTTGAGATGGGTTATGTAACTTGAACTCAAGATCATCCTGCCTCAGCTTCCCAAACCTGGGGTTACAGGTGTTTGTCACCACGCTCTGCTTAAAATGTACAAGTTTTGACCTGTGAATAAGCAAGCTCTTGAGAACATGACCACATTCAAGATAAGGAATGTGTCACTCCCATGTTCCCCCATGCCTGTTACCTTCTGTCCCATTACCCATTATCCTAGGGGGTACAATGGAATGAAAGCTTAAGACCATCTGACTCTGCACAGCTACTGAACCATCCTATTTATTTCCCTATGCCAACTGGGTTTAGACCTCTGTTCTCCTTCCTCAGAATACGGCAACAGCTCTGGTCTCCAGTGTGCCCACCTCGCTCCACCTATAAGGCTTACTTCAGCCTCTACACATAATGTCCCTGCTTGAAGCCAAATCCAAGATCCCTAATGTGCACTACAGGAGCCCTCAGGATCTGGGTCCAGGGCTATGTAGTAAGACTTATCTTAAAAAAAAAAAAAAAAAAAAAAAAAAAAAAGCACAAAGCCAGCATGCACTACACAGCAAGTTCAAGGTGAGTTTGGGATACCTTTTCTCAAAACACAAACAAAACAGAGACAACCAAACACAAATACATAAATGGCAGAGACACCTTCGTAGAACACATTAATCCCAAAAAGTTAATTTGAAGCCAGATATAATGGTGTATGCTTGTAATCCCAGCACTAGTAAGGCTGAGGCAGGAGGATCACCAAGTTCAAAATCAGGCTAGATTGCATAGCAAGACCGTATCTCAAACCACCCCTCCCCCACCAAAAAAAAAGTACGTTTGAGAACTTTAGTGTTAGCATTTGTGATACAAATCTTTTTTTTTTCTCTTAGTACTGGAGAGTGAAGTAGGCCCTGGGCGTGCTTCAAGCCCTCTCTCCACAAGTGGCCTCCTGCCTGCAGTACACATCTTAATACCATGTCCTCTTTACTTACTTGAGAACAGCAATCTCTTGAACTGTTATAGCCCTTTTATCTTTGGTTCCCATGTAGGAGAATATGTTTGGCTTGACTCTGTTAAGGCAGAAACAATGTGAAGTCATTTACCTTAAAGAAATCATCTTTCTCACAATTTAAGCTTTAAAACAATATACTTACAATAATGTCACAGAATGAGAGAAAAGAAACTTTTATTGATATACAAACTAGAAAAGTAAATGACACTTGAATGACCTCATTCTTAGCTATGTTTGGCTTAGAACATTTGTAGCTATGAGTAATGGATACTAGTCAAAGCTGGGGCTATTCAAATAGACAAAAGACAGACTGATACATGCTCATGGACTACAATATGTATAAGAAGAAATTTTAACAATCACTCTAGATAACACAGCACTTTTGACAATCATGTATCTTCAATTTTCAAAAAGTTAGTAATATAAATTTTCCTAAAACATATGGTATTATTCTGTATTAAAAAGTCAAATGCTCAAACTCAGATCTGAATACTTTGTAATGAAGAAATAGCAGGGTACCATGGACCCTCTCCAGGAAGCTCATACACAAGAGGAACACAGGATGTCTCCTCACTAGGTTCTGAGTGTTATGCGTTAAATTGGAAACCCTCAAATTCATGCACTGAAGCCCTGACCCCCAGATCTTCAGGATATGCTCATTCTCAGAAACAGAATCTTTGAAGAGGTTATCAAGCTAAATGTGGCCAACTGGGTGTCCCTAATTTAGTCTGGCCAGTATCCTCATAAGAGAGGGAAATCTGGGGGTACAAATATGAGGGGTACAGAAGGACAAGCACGCTGAGAACAAGGAGAACACCCAATCTGCCAGTCAAGGAGAGGCCTCCTGAAAGGCAGCTGCTAACTCCTTGGTCTTGAGTCATGCTGCTTCCAGAATGGTGCAAAAATTAATTTTTGTGGGTCCAGCCACTGAATCTATGGCATTTCATTATGGCTGGCCTAGTAAGTGAATACACTGCTACCAGGTTTGAGCTGAGTGAAATTTCTATAGCTCACAGATTTGCTGTGGTACCAGCAGCCATTATTACTCAAAAAGCAAAACCAAGAAAATGTTGCACCTGGCACTTGACCTTGTGGTACACTGGCTTCCTCTGAACCCACAGTCTCAGGTTTTCCATGGAGTTGTTTCCAGGAGCTGAGAATGCCCAGTCCACACAGCTGACCTCTGCAACCACATTAAAGTCTGACTTTCAGGAAGAAAGGTCATTTTTACTTCAATTTGAGTGGACTGGCAACTCTCAACTCCATGTGAATTATTTACTTCCAAGATTCTCATCTTGAACTACTGACATAGGGGAAAAATTAATTCACCTATTGTCTAAGAAAACTAACACTGGGATCCATGCTCCTGCTCCTTTTTTCCATTAGCATGGACAGGGGAAAACACATTTCAGTGGTTTTGATTTTCTATCGGAAGAAGATACTAACCTTAAATATTTAGACAGTACATTAATAGCATCCATGGTGTCTTTGTTTTCCTTGTACAGAACGAAATGGCAGTAACTTCCCCTAGATTTTGGCCAAGAATGTTTCCTTGGATCTTAAAAACAAAAATTAAATGTTACATGTACCACAATAAAAGTTAGTTTTATATGGTGGAAATTTATTCTTCCAAAACCCTACAGAGCTCATTTTTGGCTACAGAAACTGAGTTAACAAATCAGATCTGGTCTGACAGGAAATACTGGTTAAGTGGTTACTGCTTATGGGCCACAGGTATTAAAGTCTCTGTGACTAGACACTTAACACAGCCATATTTCAAATCAAAAGCTGACATGCAGGTGGTGTGACAAATGACTGGTCCAACCAGTCATCTTCACACAGGGGAGAGAGAGCCAAGGAGGCCCTCTCGTCCGACGGGGCCCACTGCTTTGGAACAAGTGCACCTCCCATGGAACTCACCCACCCTGCCTTTAGTCATGGGCAGGGTTCTCACAGCCCCGAAAATGTGACTTTTAAAATTGTTCTTTCAATTGAGCATTTCAATTACACATAGTAAAACAATGTAAGATTTAAACTGCTCAGAGAATTTTGAAAGTTAACAGTTGGGGAAAATCTATAAGCTGCAGCTACACTTCCCAGTATTTGTGAGTTCCATAAGAATGAGAGTTGTGGGGCTGGGGATTTAGCTCAGCAGCATAAGCACCTGCCTTGCAAGCAGGCGGTCGTGAGTTTGATCCTTTGTACCAATAAAAATGAAAAAGACAAAAAAAAAAGAATGAGAGCTGCAGTCATTATATGAAGAACATATCTGGTTCATTTGGTTTTTGTAACTCTACAGAAAAAAGGTATAAAATTATATTTTGCACAATCAACTGAAAAAAATCCTTTTGTTTTTAAAATGGCACTTTATCCCTAAAATAGTCTTGTCACATGAACTCATAAATCCTTTATCTTCACAAGATAGCATGTTCCTGGTGCTGAAGTTAACTGGGTAGCTGGTTTCACCAAGACAAAAGCACTGTCTGGGAACAGGTGTGTGATTGCAGCTACAATCAAGAACCACAAACTGATGCAAAGAATCAATAAACCATCTCTGAAAATGCCATGGCATATATGCCTGGCAAATCAGTTTTCCTTTTTAATATTGAGTCTCTTCTGTCTTGTATAGAAAATTTTCACAAGTATCTCTCTAGCTGTGTGTGTGAATTACTCATAAATTCCTCAGAAAACTCCAAGTGGAGTATCATTTTTGGTTTCCTCCCAGATCACTATGAGTGCAGCAAAGCTGTCACACAGCACTTGCGATAAACTCATTGGCATTTCATTTCATCTAGACGAAACACCAACCACTCTTACCTGCTGCAGTTCTGACCTCTGTCCAAACGCACAGCGTAAAGAGCACAAGAGAGCAATGTTTAATTTATAGAATATTAAGGTGCTTAGAGGTGAACATGCAAATGGTCGCATGGTTAACTTTGTACTGAGGCTTTCTACAGTAGTCAGTCATGTGGTGGGTTAACAGCCATTCAGACAGTAACAATGGGGTGTTGTGGAGGCAAACAATGAACAAGCAGAAAACTCAAGCACACCAGCCTCCCTGTCTCCATCTTTTCAGTGGGCATGTCCGTTCTGGCTCAGAGCTGTACCCTGCACCCAGGAGAAGTAGAAGGTTCAAGACTGGCTATCAAACACTTCTCCACCTAGGGATTTGTCTCTTTCAATACATGTCCAAGCATGTAAAGACATGTCCAAGATGCTAGCAGTGGTTATCTGTAGTGGTGAGGCTGCAGGTAATTAGTATTCTCTTTGTGCTTTGCTGCTTTATCAGTTTCCTGCACCGAAGTAAATGTGAAAAATACTGAATGATTATTAAAGACAGTTCTTTCACTTCTCTTACAGGTTAGAAGAAATTTAAGAGATAATTTAAGAGACTTAAACCCACTGAGTATCTGATCCCCTTTTATCATAATTTGCACAACCTATGTGTATGTAAGAGATGTTTTTTAGATATAGGAAGAAAAACAACATGTAGTACTACATATCAAGAAGTTATTTGATTTTGTTGGCTATGGTAATGGTTTGAGGTTTCAGTCTTTATCTGACAAGTACATACTAGAGTATGAGTGAAATGATGTATTATGCAGAATTTGCTTTAAAATGCTCAAGCAAGAAAAAAAGTGGGAAGAACAGATGAAACAAAAACACAGAATGTTGATAATCAAGATGGCTGATGGGTACACAGATCCCATTTACAAATGAGATTTGTGTGCACGTTCGCAAATGTCTGTAATAAAATGTTTAAAAAACAAGCACAGCTACAATTTTTCTTAACTACTAGCCCTTCAGTGCATTCACAGTTAAGTCCAATGGTAAGGACTAAATGAAGCCAAAAGACTGAAAATCTAATGCTGTTACTGCTTAACAGAAACCATGACAACCGAGTATGAGTTCTAGATCAAAAGCATGCGTTTTCTGTTAACAAATCTAAGTACTAAGCATGCATGCAATGATCTCCTCTACAAATAATAAATGCAAATATTCTTTTTCTAAGTGCATTCAATATACAAAATAGTAAAGCATTTGTAATTGGGACATTCTGAATAACAAAACCAGTGACTTTAAACTTATTTTCAGCAATTTGTTTAATTTGATAATTTCAACTCCAACTCCTAAGAATGCTCAGAAGTACATATTTAGCTTTACCATTTCAATGAACTTAAGACAGTTTTCAAACATTTTTAAGACAGTCTGATTATGACACAAATGCAAAGCATTTTTAGGCCGGTAATATGCTTCTTATTTCCAGAAGGGCCTGCCATGGCAGCCCAGGCTAGGAGAAAAGGAAGCCACGGAAGATTCACATATCAAGTACAGAAATGCTCACAAGTGAGAAGTAGGGAAAGAGGTCTGCACTGGAGGGATGACGGGAGGGGAGGGCACGCAGTACATTCCTGCCTTCTTACTCCAGGCCTTTCTCACCAGCACACCTGCACACCAACCTTTCGGCTTCCTCAGGGATGCTACTCCACCCATTATCTTTACTGCTCTTCTGAATTTTCACCCTCCCCTTCCAATGGCTCTTACACTTTGGTTTATAAATATACTCGGGGCTCTTCCATCCTAAACTCCCTCTCCTTAACTCCCTCTCCTTAACTGATACCTTCCTTTCTCCTTCTCTTTTCAGAGAAAAACCAGACTGTATATACTGCCTTTCACTTCACCCTACTATGTAGAATGGTTTTCAGCCTCAGCACTTCACTGAAACTGTTTTGGCAAAAAACCAAAAACGAAACACCAGTGCTTTCCATGCTGTTACACACTGTGGACCCGATTCAGAGTTCCTATCTTGCTGGACCTCTCTGTAGCATTTTCTGCTGCTGACTGTTGTACTCTAAGAAAATAGGTTCGTTATATGTGTATTATAGCAAACCTGCAGCATGGCTTGCTAAATGTGTTTTTTTTATCCTTTTTCCCTAACTGATATGTTAAGTGACCTAACTGATATGTTGAGCAATACTCTCCTCTGTAAAGAATTGCAAGAATCTCACCTAATTGATATGTTAACCATTGTTGCCCTCTACAAACTACAGAAGTTGTGCTAAAACAAGCTAACAAGGGTTGTTAATCACTGTTAGGCGCCTCTATTCTCTGCTAAAGAGCTAAAGAAAACTAGAATGGCCCATTAATTTACACTTGCTTAAAGTAACTTGCTTGTGTGCAGAGAGATTTGCATATGAGTTTAACCCTTTCCTGACCTTGACACATAACCGCGGTTTTCTGTTCTGTATGGCACCTTATTGCCTCCCCTCTCCCCTCACCTATCTATCTAGGCCATAAAGAATTTGGGTTTGTGGTGACCTCTTCCCGATCTGGTGATGATCTGTCATAAAATGAGCCTGCCCCAAATTTTAAGAACTGTTTAGCTTCAAAGAAATTACTGGGAATTACTATGGCCCAAACCCCAATCGGTGTTTTCCTTTTGTTCTGTATGCATCAAATGAGTTAGATATCAGATCTTTGTAAAACTTAAGTTTCAGCTTCTTGTAACTCTTGACCCCTTCGCGCCCACTAGTGAAAACGGGCTGTCCTGGGATAATTAACTCTCCACTTTCTTCTCCAAATATTGCTGCAGATGTGCCACTCCGAGATAATGTCAGTCTGTAGGATGGGAGTAATTTGAGAAACACCAGGAACTCCCGAGATTGTCAGAGCTAAGTGGACAGCAGTACAGTTTCCAGACTCGGGTCAACAAGTTTGATGGCTCTGCAGGTTTCTTTGTCTGTCCCCCCCCCCCTTTTTCCTCCAGCCTCTTTTTAAAGTCCTCCCTTCAGTCTCTGGGACACAGTCTCCAAATTGGCTTCCGGAGACTGGTCGCCAGGCCTGCAAATAAAGCCTTTGCCACCTAAATTTTTGGTCTCTTGCCTCCTTGGATTTTATACTGGGACCCAAGTTATAACACTGATCACTCAGATTACTGAGGCTCTTTACTTCTCTGGATTCTGGAACACCAGACACACCTCAAGAGTGTCTTTGTACCATCAGACTCTTACTGAGTCTAGATGTAGGAATCCGTACTGGAATCATTCCTTTTGAAAAGTATAGAAAACCACTATCTGTCATAGAAAAAAATTTTTTTAAAGAAGTTAAATCTTTTAAAAAAAGTTCTCAGTCAAGGTGGTACACACCTGTAATGCCAGGACCCAGGAGGCTGAGGCAGGATTGCCATGAGTATGAGGCCAACCTGGGCTACAAAGCAAGTTCAAAGCCGGGCTGAACTACATAGTAACACTCTGTCTCAAAAAAAAAAAAAAAAAAAAAAAAAAAAGTCCTCAGAAGTATCTGGAATATATACTATTTCAAAATGTAAATTACAGAAGCATAAGCACTTGCCTGGCAAGTGCAAGGTCCTGAGTTCAATTCCCAGGACAAAAATGACAAACAAAAAACAATAAAAAGAATGATAGCCTTTGGGCCAGGGATGTAGCTCAAAGGCACAGCAGCTGCCTGGTGAACATGAGGACCTGAGTTCAATTCCCAATATTCCCTCAAAATGTAAATTAATTTACCTGCTTACGTAATGTTATAATCATTTTCAGTATTTTCCAAAAACTACTGTGTAAGTATGTTTTGATAGACAAGGCAATGTATCCCATCAGGCTGTCTTAACACAGGAAAAAATGCCTGAATCTAAAGGTATTTCTTTGGGCATCATGATTTACAAAAAGTACTTATATTTTAGTATACACAGTTCTACTGGAGAAAAATTTGGGTTAAGAATTTTGCAAATCTATCATTAGGAAATCAAACAATGCTCTCAACATGGACAGCATACTCATGGACTTGTGGCTGTGACAAAAAAGAAACCCTCTTACACTGCTGGTGAGAATGCAAACTAATACAGCCATTATGGAAATCAGTGTGGAGACTTCTTGAAGAATTGAAATTAGAAACTCTGTATGACTGAGTTATTCTTCTGCTAGGCATCTTCCCATAAAAGCGTAAGTCATCATCTACAGCAACACTTGCATACCAATGTTTACAGCAACACGATTTGTAACAGCCAAATCCTATGAGCAGCCTATGTACCCATCAACTGATTACTGGACAAAGAAAATGTGGTATCTATATATAAAGGAATACTCTGCTATAATAAAGGATGACAGATTTGAGGCAATTGTAGGAAAATGGATACACCTGGAAAATATAATATTGAGAGAAACAAACCAGACACATGTTTAATACCATGTTATCTCTCATTTGAGTGAGACAAAGAAAATAAAGCATGGGTAGAAAAGGGACAGATCTCATCTAGTAGGGAAGTGGCTCAAAAGAACACAGGTGAGGGGTGAAGAGGAAGGGAAAGGAAAGTGAGAGGAAGAATGACATACCATGCATAGGTCCTAATAACTCCAATCAATGTTAACATCTTATACCATAACATGAGCTAAGAAATATAACATCAACGAATATGGAAAAGGTTATAGAGAACCTGAGGAGGTGGAAGGGAACAGAAATGAAAGGAGTCAAAAAAACCCACACTGTAATATGTCTGTGTAACTACTCCTCAAGATGACTGTAAACTGCATGACATGCAAAGAATTTTTTTAAAAAGCAAAAATGAACGAATGAAAGAATATTGCCAATCCATTCCACAAGCATAACCCACCGATAATAATTTATATCAGGGTTTGATCATAAATGGGCTTAAAACACACTCTGCAAAACTCTGCACTGAGGCCTCTGAAGCCAGACAAGGCAGCCCACACCGGTACCGGGGTCTACCACAAGGCTAAGGACAATGGTCTCAGGACAGCTCCTTTTTCCTAGCAGCATTTACGGCATGCACTCTCAGCTTGTACCAGGAAAGCTGGTCATGGAAAAGGTGAGCCAGGTCCGAGTCATGGTCTGGGCGTGGAGCTGCCTTCAGGAGGGAGCGTGGAGGGAAGAGCTCAGACCATCTTTGACAAACAGGAACTCCTCTCTCATACTCAAGAGGTTAGGGCTCTATGCAAAGACTGACCCAATTTGCCCTGCTTTCATGCATCTTTTAAAGGGGAGAAATTCCTATTTTATTAAAGATGCTCAAAGGGAGATGGGAAGGAGTACCTCATATTTAAAACAGGTCAGCATTTAAGTAAGAAAATTTTTTGAGGAAAATGAGAGGTGTGGCATAAGCACAGAAAATTCAGATGTAGACAGAGCCTGAGAGATGTGGTATCAGTTAAAGAAAGAGAAGGGGTCATTCTAGGTATCTTTCCCAAAGAGCTAAAAGTATCATACCACAGGGGTACACGCATCCCCATGTTTACAGCAGCACAATTTATAACAGCTAAATTTTGGAAATAGTCCACATGCCCATCAACAGATAAAAGAATAAAGAAAATCTGGCATTTATATATGATGGAGTACTACTCTGCCATAAAGAATGCTGGTGCACACCTGTCATCCTGGTACTTGGGAGGCTGAGGCAGGAGGACCATATGCTAGAGGGCAGCTTGGGCTATGTCAGTGAGTTCCAGGCTAGCCTGCACTATTAAGCAAGACCTTGTCTCAAAAAATGAAACCAAACCAAAGTGAAGGATAAACCTGAGACATTTTTAGATAAATGGATGCATCTCAACACCACAATCTTAAGTGAAATAAACCAGACACACAAGTTTAAATACTGCATTGTTTCTCTTGTGTGAGGATCCTAAAGGGTAAATAAAGTCTGGGAAACAAGAAGAACATGCTCACATGGGAAGGGGAGCAAGGGGGGGGGAGGGAAGAAAAAGAAAAGGGATTGGCTGAGACAGGGTCTCCCCAGGCAGCCTAACCTGCTTTTTGAACTCACTATGTAGCCGGGCTGGTCTCAAACACATGGCAATCCTTCTACCTTAAGCCTCCCAAGTGCCTGGATTACAGTTGTGCACCACTATGCCTGGCTTGAAAAGGGTTAAAAAAATAAAAAATTTTTTAAAAAAAGAAGGAAAAGAAAAAAAATGGAAGCAGAGTTTCTGTAAATGGGGAAGGAAAGAAAGGCTGAAGGGACAGGAGGGGAATTGGAAAAGAATTAAGATTGCATGCAGCAAACAGGTACTAATATTTCAAAGCACAGATTACAAAAAAAATCTCTGGAATGGAGAAAGAGAGGGAGGGAGGGAGGGAGGGAGGGAGGAAGCAAAGGGCGAAGAATCTCTGAGCCACTTGGTCCTACAACTCCCATTTCCCCCCACAAGACCTGGCATCTCCCAAGAAATGAAGATCATTTCTAGTAAGTTCAAAAGAAAACCTCCGCCCTTTCCTCATGGCCACACTGCAGAGCAGCGGGTTACCTGCCCCACAGACCTCCCTGTCCTGCAGCACTGCAGGGACCGTGAGCCCAAACATCCTGGGCATCCTGTGTGGAGGGCGTCACCTGGCCCCTCCACAGCTACCAAAGCTACTACTCGTGAGCTGTCCGTGGGGAACCATGAAACCATCACTGAAATGGTTTACCACAGGGCTTCCTGCTCTCTGGCAAGCCTGACTGCAGCAAAGCCACTCGGGAGTGACTACACTGTGGCCCAGATGAAAAGGAAGCACACGCTGCTGTTAGTTTGCAGAATGAGGAGTGATGAACAGCCTGTGCCCCGGGAAGCTGCACAGGTGTGGTCACACTTTTCCTTCCTTTGGGTATCACTGGTAAATGGCCTCCAAATGCGTCTCCTCTTCCCCAGCTGCTCAAGGTTTCTCATGTTGCAGACGATCTTCTTGGGCTCGTTTAACCTTATTCTTGCTGTCTTTTCTTTTAGAATCTCATTGTTAAAAACGAAGCTTTGCTCATGTACAGTACTAACGTTTAAACTGACCTACAAGAATACTGACAGAGCCCTAAGGGACTGGCCTCATTATATAACCTTGGGGTTCTATACTAGTAAACACAGTAATTGATGACTATCAGGAGTCATCACTGGTAGACGAGGGGAAGAAGAAAAATAGAGAGAAGAGGAAAAGAAGGAAAATAGTAAGCTGTAGCTTACTGGATGAGTGAGTGCTCCTGGGTTCCATTCCCAGTACCACAGAAAATAACTTCCTTGGCTGATTTGATAGGAAAAAGAGGAAACATTAACTATTTTTTCTTTTTCCTTAATTTTTCTCACAGTTCTTTGCTAACAGAAATTTTCATGGCTATAGAAAGCACATGAGAATATAAATATCCCAGTGATTCATAAATGAGCAATACACTGAAAGATGTATTCAGGTAAGGGGTCACTTTCCAAATACTCCATATATTTTCTGTGTGAGTGAAGAAATACTCAAGAGTTGGGAAGCAGAAACAGAAACTATACCCTCATGATAAAATATGACAAGCATTTTTATTCATCTTAACATTCTTTCTCCTCTATTAAGAACACAGATGACTCCATGGGACTCTTTACTTAAAAGGCAAAAGGTTTATATGATCTGAACGCTGTTGTATATTCAGAGACAGCTTGTTGGACTTTACCTACTGTTTTCAGTGTCTATTCTGAATTAAAATTTTAAAAGAAGACCTCAGATGAGCAACAGTCCTTCTGCCACTTAGCTGTGCTGCCCTGCAGAAACCTGTTACGCTCCTAACTCTCGGGACCCCACTGTCACGCCTATGCACCACTCTCCCAGAGAAGGCACAATGCCCCCAGCACACAGCGGCTGTGGTTGGCTCTGGCAACTGAAATGACAACATGCATCCTGTCAAAGGAGTGACAGGGTCAGTACCCTTCTCTGTGCAGCAGCGTGGCAGCTGCGGAGAGGCAGCCAGGCAGAGGTCTGAAGCAGCCCAGCCCAGCAATCTTTCTCCTCCTGTACTCACTTGCCAAGGCCTTCTTCCCAGCAGCGTGGTAGGCTACAATGTATTTCTTCCCTTCTCTTTCCTCTGTTTTTGTCTCTAGTCCAGGAAACAGAGATTTTATGGCTTGATGAATGATGGTTCTCTTCTCTTTGGTGTCCTCAATAACCTGTTAAAAACACACAGTGACACTTCTACTTCAACAAACATTAAACAGAGAAGTAAAATCGCAGCTCATCTTATTCAGTAAGCAAACAATAAAGTGCCTGGGTAGAGTTTCAGAGTATTTTAGAGCTTCATAATCGGGCAACTTCTAAGGGTGCGTGAACTGTGCGAACTGTGCGAGTCCATCTGCCAGTCCCCGTACCAAGCACTTCCCAGACACTGTTGCACCGAATCTTCATAACCTCTCCATCACACTATCAACGCATCTATTACAGATGAGGATAGGAGGGTTGAGAGGTCATGGGCTATGTCTAACACTACAGAGTCGGAGGGCAACAGAACTGGATCTGAAGGCAGGTGTTGGACACAGTTGCAGAAGCTCCCCTGGTGCCTCTCCAGTGCAAAGGCCTGGGGCTTACAAATTACAGTGATAGGCATGCCAGGCCCTGGTAAGCAGTAACTCAATTCCTTTGACAGTCTTGTCTACTGCTGGATTTTATTCTTCTTCTCTGTTTGGCTGTATTTATTTATTTATTTATTTATTTTGAGACAGGGTCTTACTATGCCACTCAGGTTGGCCTTTAACTCACTATGTAGCCCAGGATGGCTAGGACTGCACAGTGATTCTCTCATGACAACCTCCTGAGAGCTGCGATTATGGGCCTGCGCCACCATGCCCAGTGTGACACTGGATTTTATTCTACACTAAATTGTTTTATAGTGAGATTCTAGCACACTGGCTCACAATAAAAAATGAACATAAACAAAATGTATGCTTAAAGACTTCTACAACTTTTTCAGTTTTAGAGGGCATCTCACATTAACAACAGAACAAAATAAAACACTACTACTTAATAGCACAAATGGGTGAGTACAGTACCAAAAAAATTTTTTTTCCCAACTGAGTCTGGTGATACCAATTTGGTAATTTCAGCACTCTGGGAGGCTACGGCAGAAAGACTGCAAATTCAATCCCAAAAATTGCAAATTCAATTTAGTGACTTAGTGAAACCTTAAAAAGAGGAAAAAGGGCTGGGGATGTAGCTCCTGGGTTCAATCCCTAGCAGCAAAAAAAATTAATTAAATCAAAATTCACAAATAATACTGACACTCTATTCAATGTATGGGTATTTCTATTTCATTTATCCCATTAAACAATGCTGACTGTGATAATCACTAATTTGATTTCAAGGCCTACTAATGGGAATGGTTCAAGCTAAAAACACCAAGATAGAATACAATTATTACTGGCTAAAAATTTTGACAGTACTTCAGCACAATAAAAATAAAAATGAAAATGAAAATAAAAACAACCTGCACCCTAATTATAGATAAATGACTGTATCGGTAGGTGAGCCTAGAATTGAAACTGTGGATAATGAGTTAGAGTAATAGGCTGTGTCTGCGTGTATATTTATACCTTAAAAGTCCAGAAAGATCTTCTTAGTCTTGGCTGGGATATACCTCAGCAACACAACACCTGCCTGGCAAGCATGAGGTCCTGAGTTGGATTCCTGATACCCAAAAAACCAAAGGAACAGAAAGATCCTCCTTCTTACTTGCTAGTTGAGGAAACCTGCCCATAGTTCATGCCTTCTATAAGTCAAAAGTTAATTGGGCACGGTGACTCATGCCTTAGGCTGGGGCAAGGGGACTAAGTTTCAGGCCACTCCATGTAATTAAGCAACTGAATAAGACCCTGTCTCAAAATACAGAAATAAAAATGTAAAAAGGGCTGGGAGGTAGTTCAGTGTGAAGGCCTCAGGTTCAATACTCAGTACCAAAAAATAGATGAAAACTTAGGCAGGCATGGTTATATATCCATTCCAGCACCTAGAGGCTGAAGTAGAGACACAACTGTGAGTCTGAGGCCAGCTGGGGTTACACGGCAAGTTAAAAGCCAGCCGGAAGGGGCTGGGAATTTAGCTCAGCGACATAAGTGCCTGCCTTGCAAGCGCATGGTCGTGAGTTCAATCCCTGGTACCGGTAAAAAAAAAAAAAAGCCAGCCTGAACTACACAGCAAGAGCCTGACACCAAAACCAAAATCAAACCAAAGCTTAACAATGCCAAAATGGTACAAAATGTGAGACTGACGTAATGTAAAACTCTAAATTTTGCATTAATCTAGACAAAGGATGTGTTGTCCTGTTCAGTGTGTCAGCCATTAGCCATGGAGCACCTGAAATGTGGCTGCTTGGAAGAAAGATGTGGTATTGGGGTAAAATAACATTGGATTTGAAGACTCAGCAGGGAAAAAAGGAATGTAAAGCACCCCAAGAATTTAAAAATTATATATTAAAAAGGTAGTGTGTTTTGAATGTATTAAGGTAAATAAAATACACCATTAACCTTCATTTTTTTTTAACACAGATATAGATACTTTGAAGGGGGGGACTTAGAAAAACAAAAAGGATTAAGATGTGTTATATCCATGTAGCACCTGCCCTCAATGTGTTTTAAAAACCAAAGACGGGACAGGGATTTAGCTTGGCAGCACAAGCCCTGGTACTCCTCTCCACAAAGTAAATAAACGGTAAATCAAAATTAAAAACACAGATAGTAGAAACCTAAAAATCCAAGCAAAAAGGTGTTGCTCGGTGGTGGTGCATGGTGGCCCTGCCAGCCCCACTGGAGACGGAGAAGTGAACAGAACTGTCATCCTGTGCTCTGAACTGATTTCATTCCTGATTTATGGTCATAAAATTAAAAAAAAAAAAAAACAAACCCAAAACGAGGGTTTGGGGGTTTAGCTCAGTGGCATAAGTGCCTGCTTGGCAAATCTAAGGCTGAAGGTTCAATCCCCGATACCCCCGCCCCAAGAAAACCCTCAAAACCCAAAATGTTCTCCTTTGCTATACTTTATCTGGATATTGGTTCCCTGCTCTTGAAAAAAAGAATGTTAATGTAATCAAACAAGGCAAGGTTACACTTTTGTTAAACACTGGAACTTTTTAATGACTTTTTTGTGTTGCTTCTTTGAAACAGTCTCACTGTGTAGTTCAGGCTGGCCTGAACTTAGGATGATCCTCCTGCCTCAGCCTACCCTGAGTCATGGGGCCCTACAGGCCGCACGTCCCGCTGAACACTTAGTAATATTCACCTGAAGAGAAGCAACCAAAACCCTAAAAACCCTCTGATGTCTTTGCAACCCCTTACCTCGATGGCAACACTGGTTTCCTTATTTTTAAAAAGCTGGAGCTCCTCCAATTGCTGCTTTTCTTCAGCTGTCAAAACTGTAAATGCATCTTCTGAAGGATCCTTTAAATTAACCATGAGAACTCACAGTGAGTCACACGTAATTCAAAGACACAAACTCTAGAAAATGCGATTTCTATGCAGAAGGTGATTCTTGCTAGAACTACTTCTACCTCCTCATCCACTGGAACAGATAAGTCATCCAAATGGCTGATCCGCCCATCTTTTCCTATTTCATGGACAATGAAGTCAGAATATCTGATAAAAAGAAAACACATATGTTTAGAGAACTGACATCTTACTTATTAATTTTACAATAAGGTTTATCACCAACCAGCACAAGGAATTTTAGAAAAAATCTTCAGTGTAGTCATATTAAGTTTTTGGTTTTTAACATATGCTGGGTCACACCAAGCTCAGGTGTTTTGGTTTTCCCCCTATTTAGCACTAGAGAGTAAACTAAGGACACACTAAGCTATATACCCAGAGCCTCACCCTTTATTTTGAGAAGGGGTCTGTCATGGTTTATATTGGTAGACCCCAGGCCTCATGAATTTGCATTGTGCGTTTGTGATTGGTTCACTGTCTAGAGGTGATGGTGGATTAATGGTGCCAGTGCTACACCCACATAGGGGTGGAGCCAACATACAATGCAATGGCAGGAAGAAGATATGTCATTCTCTCTTGCTGGTTTCTGCCTTGCTGTTTTACAGCTGCCATAAACTGCATCCCCACCATGCCACCCTGCCTTGGAGCCAACTGAGTGTAGACTAAACCTCCCAAAACTGTAGGAAATAAAGCTTTCCTTTCTCAATTTTGGGTATCAGGTATTTTGTCTCAGGAACAAGTAAAAAATAACTAAGACAAAATTTGGTACCATAAGTGGGGTCGTTTGTTGTGACTATAACTGACCATGTTTTTCAAGAGGCTTTAAAAATGACTTGTGTGCAGAGTTTAAAAAGGTTTGGACATGTCACCTGGATGCATAGAGCTAGAGCAGCTTAGGCTGTTCTATAGAGGAGATTCTGGTCAGAGCTCAAGAGACCAAAAGTCTGATAAAAAGTCTGATGGTAAAGACCAGGTTTGGGAGATTTTTGCTGAAAAAAAGGACTACATTGGTTGGACTTCCCACGAAGTATGTTATGGCTTGGCATAAAGTTTGCTTACAATTACATTTTGCTCGTGCCCAGACACTTTACCTGAGACTAAGAGCAACAGACTGATTAATCTGGCAAAAAAATTTCAAGGCAGTCAAATGTTGAGGCTGTGACATGGCTATTGTTGGGGGCTTTTAGCCAGCTTTATGGTTGCAAATCAAGAGCAAAGAGCCCAACAACCAATAATTTACAACACTGTGAGTTTGGCCAAAAAAAAAAAAAACAAAACTGTAAAAAAGCCAATAATTTACAACACTGTGAGTTTGGCCAAAAAAAAAAAAAAAAAAAACTCCAGTAAAACTGTGGATTGTAAAGACAAAAGTTGTGACTTTCACTGCTGAGGAAAAACAGAGAAATAAAAAAGATGGCCATGGGGCATCCCAAAAAGCAGCGGGTCTCCACCTTTTGCAGCCTCAAAACTGCAAAAGTGAAAGAATTTGCTCAGAGGGGAAAGCTGCACAGCACCATGCTCCAGAATGGTGACAGAAGCCACATGAGGTTCCATAATGGCGGCAACATAGAAAAGCTTTTCTTCACAATCAGGTTCACAGAGCCTAGCGATGATCCAGGCAATCAACCCCTACAGCCAAGAAAAAAAAACGTCTGGCTACTACTCCAGCTGGCAGCAAACCTTGGCGGCATCCACATGGGGCTGATTTTAGGTGCAAAAAAAAAAAGTACAAATTGTGAGGATAAGACAGCTTCTTCCTCAATTGTAAAGGGCCTGGGAGGTCAAGCACTGTGCCCTGAAAGGACAATTTATAAATATAAAGGTAAAGCCAAAGGTGCAACAGAGACCCCAAAAGTTTAAAAAAGTCAAAAATATGGATCATCCAAGAAAAGCCACAAAAAGTAAAGAGAAAGGGTTTAAGAGAAAAACTGCAGAAGCCTATATCCCTAAAAGTGCTGTGGGGGTGAAATCACCCAAGCCTTTTAGAATTTACAACCAGACTGCTTCAAATGCTGAGCATAAAAGTCTAGGACTTGCCAGGGATTTAGCTCAGCGGCATAAGCACCTGCCTTGCAAGTCCACAGTCTGAGTTCGATCCCGGGTACCAAAAAAACAAAGTCTAGGACTTAATGTTCACTCTGCTGGATGTTGGACTTGCTATGTTTCCAATGCTTTATATTCCCTTGTTTGTAACTTTTAAAATGGTAATGTTTATCTTGTGCCTTTATATTTCAGAAATGTTTAACCTTGTTTCATTTGTACAGGGGGTTACAGTTAAGAGTTTGCCATAGCTATCAGGGGAGACTTAAAACTTAAGATTTTTCAGCAATGCTAAAATTATTAGGACTTTGGCAACTCTTGGAGATGGTCTAAATGTCTTTTATATAAAGGGTGTACATGAGTTCTGGGGGCCAGAGGTGAAATATCATGGTTTATGTCTGTGGCCCCCAGCCCTTATGCATTTGCATTGTCCATTTGCGATTGGTTCATTGTCTAGAGCTTAAATTGATGGTGTCAGTGCTACACCCACCTAGGGGTGAAGCCACTATAATATATAGCAAAAAAAGGTGTGCGTGTGCGTGTGCGTGTGTGTGTGTGTCTTGCAGGTTTCTGCCTTGCTCTTTGCAGCCGCCATGAACTGTGGCCCCACCATGCCACCCTGCCTGGAGCCAACTGAATATGGACTAAAAACTCCAAAAACTATAAAAAACAAACCTTTCCTTTCCCAACTTTAGGCATCAGGTATTTTGTCTCAGCGATGAGTAAAAAATAAATAAGACAGGGTCTCATAAATAAGCTGTCTAGGCTGGCCATCAACTTACAATCCTCCTGTTTCAGTCTCTTAAACAGCTGGGATTTATAGGTGTGCACTATCATCCTGGTTATACTAGAAGCTTCTAGAATATTCTACCACAGAAAACCACTAAGAAATGTATAAATAAAAGCTTATTAATATTAGCTGAGGTCAGATGGTCCACATGGAACTAAATCATAAAACATATAAAGTACAGTGAATAGCTTAAATCAGAACCCAGTAAGTCCACCATGAGCTGCTCTGAAGCTTACTGCTGTTAAATAATGCACACATATTATTTACACTCCTCTCAACAATTCCACCATGGTATCTTGATCTATTTTTTGGATAGAGATACCCAGGCTTGGAGGAGTTAAGTAACTATTAAATGGCTGAACTAGATTTACAGACAGATCCATCTGGCTCCAAAGACTACATTTTTTCTACTGTAGATGTGGTGTACTCAAGTGAGAGTTTTAAGATTTTAGATGAATTCAGGAGAAAAGTTCAAACCGTTCAAAAGAATTTAACCAAATGAACAGCATCCATCTGCATAATAACAATGTGTATCACTGGGAAATTTTTTTCTTTTTAAAGAAAATGATTCTGGGGGTGTACATTTTATATATATAAAATAATCACATTCCTAATAGGGAATTTGTACTTATACATGATATAATTTGATTCTTTTTTGAAAATTATTTTTATATATTTAAACAGTTCTGCAAAGGTTCTTCCTTTCATAAGAATGGGCTATGATTTCTATTTAAAGTATTAAAAAAATGTGGTCAGCATGGTGGTGCACACTTGTAATCCTAGCACTCAGGACGCTGAGGCAAGAAGATCACTAAGAGTCCAAGGCCAGTATTGGTACAAATTGAGTTCAAGGCCACCTGAACTACATAGTGAGCCCCTGTCTTACTCCCCACAATCAATCACAGTCAGTCAATCAGATCATTCACCCACTCAGGTAGTTCTCTATCCTCTTCCTCTCTGACCATAAGTGGAACTGATCCTTGGGAGTGAGAAAGCTAAATGGAAAACTGTTTTGCTGATTTCTTCTGCTAAAGAAAAACTAATGCAACTAAATAACCTTACACATAAGCTAAACATACCTTTCCTTCAAGATCCCTGAGAATCCTTGATGAGAACTTACAAACTTGGTGATGCCCACATCAAGCTCCGTGAGCCCGTGCTTCATCATCTCTGCAAAGCTCTCTGCCTCCTCCTCTTCCTCTCCTTCCTCTGAAAAGCCATCTTCCTCTTCCTCTTCCTCCAGGGGGGCACCGGAATTCTTTTTACCTTTCCCAGCACTGCCGACTTCTGGTGGCTGGGGCTCTGTGTCACTGCTGGGCAGACAGTGACTGTCCAGGCCATCTCCTGCTTCAGGCAGGCAGCGTTCCAAGACCTTCTGTTTTTTTATCTCCTCAGTTGGACCCGCACAGTCACTGTCTTCAACCACAACGTATCCACGTTTCAGGGACACACCCGCCATTTCCATCTTCAAGGCTCCAAGGAAACATTTAAGGGAGCCTTAAAAAGAAGGAGAAAAAATCTTGAAGTAACAATCACTTATTTTAAAAAAGTCTGTTTGGGGTTGGGGATTTAGCTCAGCGGCATAAGCGTCTGCCTTACAAGCAGCAGTCGTGAGTTCGATCCCTGGTACCGATAAAAACGAAAACGAAAAAAAAAAGTCTGTTTGGGCAAACAGAGACAGTTAGCTTTGCTCAGGGGGTTCTCAAGTCATTTAGTAAAATGCTTCTTGACAGCAAAAGTTCTCTTGGTGGAACAGAAAACTGGCACAATACTTCTGCACAGAATCTGATAATATCCAACCGAGCCTTAAAAATATGTAATTTGATCCATGATGTTTTAACTATAGGATGCTTACTTTACTTTCTATATAAGCAAAAATGAAGAATGGCAAGGCCTGTCTGTGTATGTAAACTGATCAATACGTACGCACAACAATCAGAAACTGGGAAAGGGGGTTGCTTCCAGGAGAGGTTTTAGGTGGCTGGGGACAGTGGTGATAACTTGCTACTGTCACTGAATACCACAGCTGAATCATTTCACTTTTGTCTCACATGTAACATCCTATCCTCTCATAAAATGATGTACTCTAATAGTTTATAAATGCATCTGCTGACATGAGAGCATACTCATACCACACAATTAAAAACACAAGAAATTAGGTATGGTGGTTGACGCCTGTAATCCCCACTACTCAGGTGGCTGAGGCAGGACAGCAACATAGAGCCCACCAGCCAACTTGTGCCACTCTGTGCTCCCTGGGTTCAACCCTCAGTAAACACAAAGACACAGACACACATACATAATGTTGATTGGAAAACAATATGTATTTACTTAACAATACTGAACCATAAACAGGGTTCAAGCCTCAACACGGAAAAGATAAAATAAAAATCACAATCTGAAAAAAAAAGAGAATGTCTTCTAGTCTGGGAGTGCAACTCAGCAGCAGAGAACTTGCCAAGCACACACAAGGCCCTGGGAGTTCAACATAAACCCCCCCATATCCAAGACTACCCATACCTAATTGGATCTCACTAGACAAAAGTTTTTCTTATTCCCATTACAGAGATATGGAAATGAATACACAAATGTCATAAACTTTCATAAGAAAACATAAGCAGAAAATGAATATTCTATTTCTTGAAGACATGACTAACAAGATACCCAACTATATCTATAGCAAAAATGATGATGATTATGATCTCAGTTTTCAGAATCATCTTTGATCTTGATTCCCTGGTAAAAATCAAGAATAGAAAGAAAAGTTTGCAAAAGTCCTAGATTCAATCCTCAGCAAGCTAAAAAAAAAAAAACAAAACTTTTCCTTTAGGGTTGGGGATCTGACTCAGTGGTACAGCACTTGCCTAACATTCATGAGGGACTGGGATCTATGCTTAGCACTGCAAACAAACAAAACACCAATATCAATTTCCTGTGAAAGACAAAAAATTAAAGAAAATTGAAGAAACCCAAAAAGAAAAACAATCGAAAACAGAACAACATAACCAGTTACATAAAGTGATCTATGAGCAAGCAAGAAAGCACTGATTCTATAAGCAATAGTTAAAAACAAATGCTAATTTATGAAAAGTTGCTCTTTCTTACTTTATGACAGCAAAGTTGCCTACAAATGGAGTTTGTACAAATGGAGGTATTTAACTGAAAAATTTATCTGTATCATTGTTTTTATCTTTTCTCCTTAAAATAAAAAGAAAAACTTGGGGCTGGGGATTTAGCTCAGCGGCATAAGCTCCTGCCTTGCAAGCAGGCAGTCGTGAGTTCGATCCCTGGTACTGATTAAAAAAAAAAAAAAAGAAAGAAAAACTTGAATTTAAAAGGCAACATCCATCGGAAAGGTAGGCTTGAAAAAAAAAATTAAAAGGCAACAGAGGATCATTAAGTGAGCCATGAACAGGGAACTGAGCAAAAGTACAAGGAACCAGGCATTAGGGGATAAGAGGACACAACAGCCATCAGAGGCAGCAAGGTCAGTGTCAGGGCAAGCCTCAGTAAGAATGAGGTATGAACACCTGAGCCAACTTCTCAAGCTGGAGAAAGAGGAAGGTGTGGAAAGGTAGAAAAGATGCTTAGTTAGAGAGCACAGCATGTGCCATGGCAGGGACACAGACAGGGCGCACCAGCAAATCTCAAACTGCTGTTTCTCAATGTGGAAGTGAGTCTGAGGGAAAGTCAGGGGCATGGGCAGAAACTACACAAGACTACATGGATGGAACTACACTCTCTTTTGAAAACCAAGCCCGTCTTAGTTTTCTGAGTTCTAACAAAACAAAAACCTATTTCACAGTACCCTCTGAAAAGAACCTGCAGTTAGGCTGGAAAACCAGCTCTGAGCTAATGATCAAACCAAGAGCTTGGGGAGAATATGGGGCCCGAGGCAAGCTAGTTGTTAGGCAAAGTGGTTTCACCTGACATGGACTTTCTAAATGTATAAAAGCACTGTGGTGGGTGAGCAGTTCCTTTCCTCCCATCCCGAGAGAGGGCTCCTCTTGATCTCAGCTTTCTGTATATTGTCTCTTTCCCCATCCTCTCGCTGTCCTTCTCCCCAGGAACTTTGAGAGTTGAACACCACACAGCAAGAGGGTTCAGCAATGCATTTGGGAAAAAACTTGTACAACTTTTCTAAGGCTGACTCAGAGGAGAAAGGATATTCAAGAACACTGGGAACTACCAGGATAAGACTGGGAGACAATATGGAAAACAGAACTATGCCATGAGGATGCAGGTTTTCTGCCTTGGGGACCTGGGGGGCAGTGGAGTTCTCTGTGATATGAGGGCCCCAGAAACAGAGGCAAGAGGCGGAAATGATAAGCCACTCAGATGGTATGGAGCCATGACATCCATGTAGCTGACTGACACCCAAGTAGAAATGTTCTGTAGGGTGTCAGCACATTGCATCACATACCTTTACCATAAATCTCAAAGTGGCCCCCCAATGCCAATGGCATCATAAGATCCCCAGAAGTATCAAAGGATCTGCCAGGAGGTTTTGATACCCGTCTGAGGTCAGAATATTTAAGCAACGAGCCAAGTACAGCCAGCAGGTGACAAGCATGAGGCTTGTTTGGGCCTTTACAGTCAGAGTGCCCATCACCACTACGATTCAGATCTAAAATATCCCCCAAATAACTCGGGTGTGGAAGGTGACTGGATCATGGGGGTGCTACGGCCAGCTGACTTACTGTTAGAGCTGTGCTCCTTCCAAGCTTCCTCCCTGCTCTCTGCTTCCTGACCACCTTGAGATAAGTGGCTCTTCTCCTGGGTAGGCCCCAACCCCCATGTTATCTCTGCATTTGAGCCAGTTGACCATGGACCGAAATTTCCAAAACGTGAGCCAAAATAAAGTTCCCTTCTTAAACTGTGGATCTTGAGTAGTTTGTTCTGGTGATAAGAAAGTGACAAAGACAACTGCCCTCCCCTGATGCAAAAACCAAAAACAACAACAAAAAACCCCCAAAACCGACCTTGTTCCAATTTAGAGCCAAATCTAGATTTTGCCATCTACTATAAACGGGCCATTTAAGCTCTCTAAGCCTTAGTTTGCCTATTAAAAGACACAATGTGGCCAAAGGTCTGTAATAACTTCTCATCTGTTGGCTACTAGTGTTTATTATGAACAGTGCACAAAACTCTGCTGCTGAGTCTTAATTTTAAGTGTTAAGAGTCTTAATTCTTAAGTGTTTTCTGTTTTCTAGGGTAAACATGGTTGTCTCCAAAAATATTTATTTGAGACAGGGTCTTGCTATGCAGTGCAGGCTGGCTTCAAACTCATTCTGCAGTCTGGGCTGGTCACTTAACTTGCACCAATCCTCTAACCTCTCACCTCAGCCTCCTGAGTGCTGGGATTACAAACAAGTGCCATCATGCTTGGCATTCATTTAATTTTAAGAGATGTTCAAAAGATTGCCAACAGCCAGATGTAATTGCACATGCTTGAAATCCCAGCACTTCAGAGGCTGAGGTAGGAGGACTGGCTGTGTGTTCCAACTTGGGCTACACACAGAGTTTAATGTCACCCTGAACTGGATAGCAAGACCCTGTCTCAAAACAAAAATGCAAAGAAACAAAAAAAACAGCTTACTGCCGATAGGCCAACAGCATCAAACAGATCCTTAGGCTCGATATTTGTAGACATCTGTCTGATCTCTTGATTATCTAATTGCAAGCATTAATTATTCTTTTGTATTTCAAATATAACTGTACTTTTCATTCAAGTCAATGTTAGCACTTCTACACAAATCATTAAATTCTATTTTCAGTACCACTATAAACCACTGAATATCTGTTTTGTTTATTTCAATTCTGTAGGCCTAGAAGCTAAGAACATATTTCTCAAATAGCTATGCAAAGTTCCAGATTTGGAGCAAAACACAAAAATTCTGTGTCGTTTTCATAAGCAGGAAGAATCAGGAAAATAAAGAATAAAACAGACTATATTTTTTAAGTTGGGGCAAGGTGATCTTGTGAACCTGGAAAAGATTTAAAAGAATTCAGCCACAAAGACTGAAATCTTTACTGTCTCAAGGTTCCATGTCTAAGATCAGATTTGTATTTAGGACAATCCAAAGATAAAATACTCAAGCATTCAACTTTGAAAATATGTAGTGACTTTAAAAATAAGGATCTTTATTTTTTCCAAAAGAAACATGTTACACACACACTATCCAAGATAGTAACATCTTAATTGCCAAATAATGTCTAAGAAGACTTGACTCAATAATTTCCATGAGCTTAAAGTTCTGCACATTTCTCTGAAGAGAATCCTAAAATAATGTTTTTTGTTTCCCTTCACACTTCAATGAGCCAAATGAGAATAGAAGCACTACAATTTTACCAGTATTTAAAAATTCTTTTTCAAACATTAGATTCTCAAGCTCTTAAAATCCTCCATGTACAACAAAGATAAAGCTTGGCATTTTCAATTTTTTTTTTTTTTTTTTTTTTTTTTTTGGCGAAAGGATCTCACTCTGTAGTCCAGGCCGGCCTTGAACTCATTAACTCATTATGGAGCCCAGGATGATCTCAAGCTGGAGGTGGTGATCCTCTTGCCTCAGCTTCCCAAGTGCTGGGATTACAAGCAAGCACCACCACCCTGGGCTTCAAAAGCTTAAAATCACATTGACAACAACCACTTAACATTATTTCCTCCAAAACGAACGTGTGAAACGGTTGCATTAGTCTTAATTCTATTTTTCTTTTTTTGTCTTTTTCCTTTTTTTTCGGTACCAGGGATCAAACTCACGACTGCCTACTTGCAAGGCAGGCGCTTATGCCGCTGAGCTAAATCTCCAGCCCCCTTCTTAATTCTATTTCAAAACCTTCCGTATCTGCCAATTTCTAAATGAGTTCCCCATACTTTGCAAATTGGAGTCACCTCTAGCTGTCAAAATCAGGCACTCTTTCTTTAGGGCATAGCATGAGCTACACCCTAACAGTTAACATGTCTGAGTCTATCAGAATAATAGGTATTGAGTGTGTCTTGTGTGTGTGGTACTGCTACAGGTACTAGAGTAAAACAGAAAATACTGGGCTGGGGATTTAGCTCAGCGGCATAAGTGCCTGCCTTGCAAGCAGACAGTCGTGGGTTCGATCCCCGGTACCGATAAAAAAAAAAAAAAAAAAGGAAAAAGACAAAAAAAAAAAAAAAAAAAAAAGAAAGAAAAAGAAAATATCCCTCTCTGAAGGCACTTACATCCTATTTGTGGATATATTCGGTAACAACAACAACAAAATCTCAGAACATGCAAGCCATGAAGAAATAAAAGCAGAGCAAGGAGGCTGATACTAAGAAGGATGGGGCTCCAGTAAAGCATCTTTTAGGAGGTAATTTCTGAGCAAAAACTTGAACAAACAGACACGAAAAAAAATGTGCGTGAAGAGAGATCCAGGGCACCCACAGGTGTCTGTAAAGGACCTGCAGCAGGAACAAACTTAAGCAATGGTAAGATCGCTGTTTCGCTAGTACCTTTATGGCCACAGCCCATATCAAAGCACGTTCAAAAAACTCGGTAAGTCAATTCAGTCGGTGGGGCTGTTTTCATATGACTATCCACCTCCTTTCTATACTGGCGCATACTAGACAAGATCCCTTGACAGTTAAGGCATCAGCCCCCAAGTGGGATATACTATATTTACTATGTTACAGATGACTCGCAGATTGGGGGCAAAAAAAAGAAACCTCAGTAATTCTGTATTTTCGGAATGAAATAAGTGGCCTGACAATGGAACTAGAAACTTGAAAACAGGCCGAGGGTTTAGCTCAGGGCACAAGCACGAGGTCATGAGGCTGATTCTCAGCACCCGCCCCCCCAAAAAACAAAGAAAAAAAAATTGAAAACCTCAACTCCCTCCCAGTCCTCCCCACGGTGCGGGCAAACGCTAAGAACACTAAGCTGGGAGCTGGGGCAACACTCCTAGCCCGCTCCCACCAGGAGCCCTTCCTATTCCTAACCCCTGCCACTCACTCCTCCTTCCCAGGAACCCGGCAGATCTGGCGCGCAGCGGGCTGGGCGCGACCCCAGGGCCGCAAGCCAGCACGTGGGCGGGACCCGAGGAAGCCTGGGTCGGCTACGCTAGGCCAGGCAGGGTGGGAGTTTCTTTCTAGGTGGAGGAAAGCAAAGGCGTAGAGGGAAGAGGCCCCGCGGGCTCATGGCGCCCCCTGACGGACGGACGGGGCTGGGGCCGGGGTAACGAGCAGCGACCGAGGGACCGCGCGCGGCCTCTCAGGAGGGCCAAGCCAGGCCGGGCCAGCCCAGGCCGGGCCGGGCCGGGGCGAGGCGGGCAGAAAAGCCGCGCACTTACCCGGAGGTTGAAAGCGCGAGGGCCGAGTGGCCAGGAAGCCGGCGCCGTACTTGGAACACAAGAGGGAGGCCCAGGCCTGGACCACACTGATCAGGCGGCGGGGAGGGCCCGCGACCATGGGCTGCGCGCTCGCCTCCCGCCCTGCGAACCCGAGGACTCGCTGCCGCCGGGCTCGCACACGTGCGGCGCAGCGCCGCACCGCGCCGCCCCTACCGGCCACACCCCAGCCACCCCAGGCCCCGCCCCGAGGCCCCGCCCAGACACCACGATTGGACGCTAGGAGGCCCCGCCCACACGCGACATCCTCTGGGAGACCAAGAAGTAAGGGGTCTCGAGCCACAACTCCACGCTTTGATTCAGGCATTCATCTGAAAAGATGCGACTGGGCAAAAAGTGATTTTACTGTGCATCAAAGAGCTCTTTAGGCCTCGACGGCTTCTAAAACAGCGATTACTTTATTAGTTGTATTTGAATCCGAGTTTCTTCCATATAGTTATGAGCCTTTATTGTTGTACCCTATCGAGCAGTTAACAATAAAAAAAAAAAATCATTTTAGGGCTCCTAAGAAAGTGGATCCAAGAATGCATCTCCCCACTTCTTAGCCAGCCTGCTGACTGCTCCCCAAGAGGACCCTGTTCCAGAAACCTGGTCATAGCCAGGTTTACTTCTGTTTAAAGAAGCATAAAATGCATACCCTTCCCCCTGCTCTTCAAAGAGCACACATGTAGGGGATGGGGGTTTAGCTCAGCGGCATAAGCACCTGCCTTGGAAGCAGGCGGTCATGAGTTCGATCCCTGGTACCGATAAAAAGTTAAAAAAAAAAAAAAACACAAAGAGCACACATGTACTCACTGAATCGAAGCCTCTAATATTTCATATCTAGTCGTTTTGCCGAGTTTCTGTTAGGCTTTGGTAGTTTATTTAATTATTTATTTATTGTCAGACACAGTCTCGCTACATAGTTCAGGCTTGCCAGGACTCACTATGTAAGCCAGGCTGGCCTTGAACTCACAGTGATCCTCATACCTCTGCTTCTCAAGTGCTAGAATTATAGGCGTACCTGGCTTTTCTTTATTTTTATGTTGGTAACGGTAACTCATACCTCAGATATCCAATATGTATATTTGCGTTTTTGTCTCTGTCACTTGTAAGGACTCCCCATATTACCTTTCCAGTTATTATGTGTGAGGCTGTCAGATCCCCAGTCCTCTGTCTACCTCTTGCTGCTAGGTGTTAGTTTTTATTTTTTTTTTTATTTTTTTTATTTTTTTTGAGCAGCTGGGAGACACAGACAGAGGTAAGAAAAAGCCCTTATTCCCAGCGCGGAAAAGTCGTAGGAAATTGTGAGGACTGTAGCTTAGGAGATTGTGAAGGGAGGGGCTTTTTTGAAGATAGGCTGGGGGGTGGAGACTGGATTGTCTTGTTGGAAGCGAGTTGGAGGAACTTTTGGTACTGAAGGGACATGCTGTGGTTTTAGAGGCCAATGCCGGGTTGAGCAGGCGCCACGTTGAGCCTGGCTGACTCCCATATGAGCACTAGGAACTCCTATCTTTCCTCCCTGACAAATAACTAGAACTAAGGTCTCCCTTGGGCAAAACGCATGCTGGCTGTTGAATGCTTTTACTCCGTTCAGCTTCCTGGTCACTTAAAACCAGCTTCCTGGTCACTTAAAACCAATCTGCACTCTCCAGGCAGGAAATAAGAGGGTCATCTCTCTTCCCAATTAAACCGAATCAAATAACCTTACGTTGAAGCTCCAAGTCCACAATCCTCTCTCTTCTAGAACATCTAGATGTTGTCTAAACTACACATTTAAACGATTTATATAGGATGATGACCACAGCTCCGTCCTTCAGGGCCAGGCTGCCACTGTGGAGGCTCTCGCACTGGTTGAAGGACCACCCCCTCCTTCCCCGCGCCCTAGGCGGGGCGCCTGCGTCCTGCTCTGCGTTCCCAGCCTCCGACCAGAAGGGTGCGCGACGCCACAAACCTGCGGCTGCGCGTGCAGGGCCGCTCTGGGAGGAGAGGGAGGAACCGGAGACCGCTGGAGGAAGTCGAGGTGGCTCCCGGCTCTACGGCCTCAGAGCCACGCCGCCTCGCGTCGCCCGGTGGAGCCGGACCCCGCAAACCCCACTGGCTGCGCGTGGCGTCGGGAACTCGCTCGGAGCCGTGATGCTCCTGGCCGGCGGGATCGACGAGGCTCCGGCAGCCCCGGTGAGGCGACTCTGGCGATCTGGGGAGAGGGGACAACAGTGGTTCAGTGAGGTGACACAGAGCTCCCGTGGGAAGTGATCCTGGAGAGGTGACTCTGAGATTGGGAGGATAGTTCCCATAGCCCGAGATAGAGGTCGTGGCCAGACCACCCCCAGGGGAAGTAGCCCGGGGAAGTGCCCCGGGAAGGTGACAGATGTCCCTAGGGAGGTGGCCTTGGTGGCCGGGCAAGGTAACTCGGGTGTTACGGAGGTGGCTCTGGTTGGAACTTGCATCGGTCAGCCCTGGCCTCTCAAGAACAGGTGCCGTTGGAAGCCCGAGGTGAGTTCCACCTAGGACTTGAATCTTAATTTGATTGTCACACTGTTTTCCTTCCAGTGCTGCTCGGAGAGTGGTGACGAAAGGAGGAGCATGGAAGAGAAAAGTAAGCAGGTTCCAAACACCTTATCTCTTTCACGCAGCCATCCCTCCCAAGACCCTCCAGGGTCCACAACAAGGGTTCACAGTCCTGTCATCTTTTAGTTGAAATACCTTTTTTCCTGTACAATATGCTTATATAGTAATAAATATTGATTCTCATAATAGATGCATTTTTGTCTTTCTGAGATTGGAATATGTGAGATGCTTTGGAGAAAAGCACATCCCAACCCTGCTGAGGGCAGACACTGGTGTGGCCGCCCTGGATGTCTGCCCATCCCACTGGAGGTAACTGGAACCTGCTTGCTGTTCCAGTGAAGCATATGCTTCTTAAGCATGAGAATATGGAGAGGCTTATGACTCAGAGGAACCAAATACAGGAATTGTTTAGTTGTACTTTTTTTTTTTTAACCTCCTGGACAGGAAAGGGAGATAGATCAGTACCTTTGCTTCCTACCTAGATCAGGAGCATGTGTCAGGAATGTGCACATTTATCTTTTTATTTTAATGGGTTAAGTATGGCAGGTTATTGGAAATCAAAGACTCCCGGAGCTTTTTGAAATGAAATTTTTGAGAGCTAGGGGAAAACACGTAACAGTTTTTCTCTGAGGGTGAGCTGGGTTCTTCTGTCCACCGCCAGCAGTCTGTGATTGAGTCCTACTGGCAAGATAAAGACTCAGCACATTACCATCTGGCCTTAACATTGGCTCCACAAAAGTCCACAGCACTTGACAGTTGTGGCTACCAGAGCTCAGCTCCTTTGCCTTCAGGGATTTGTGAGAACTCCCAGCTTTCAGTAAACCTGTCCCTTCCCCACCGTCAGCCCACTCAGATACCTTAGAGGCCTGGCACGCATTGATCATTTAGGTAAAATGATGGATGTGCATCTCATGCCAGGAACTCTGTCCTCTTCTAGTGGCTCAGGTACCTGCTTTGTAGTTAGAAGTACTCTTCACAAAAAGTCAAAAAAGAGAGATACAAAAACTTCCCAAGTCATCAATGTGTCACTGTCAAGAATCATTTAAGCACATACTGTGTCATATTGACACAGTTACATGTCTAGGGTATATTATTATTTTAGTTTTTGAGACAAGGTCTAGCTGTGTAGTTTAGATTCACTGCATATCCTAGACTGGCCTCAAACTCAGAGTAATGCTCCTGCTTCACCTTCCCAAGTGGTAGGACTATATAGGTGTACACCACTATGGCTCTAAAGTGTATTTTTAAAACTGAAGTTAGAATCAACTCTCTTAAGATATCCCAACTTTTGCATTCATTCATAAAGCATTTCCTGCCTTCATTTTTCTGCAGATACACATCTCATTTATAGAAATAAAAGAGTATTGTGAGTGTAGCACATAATAATGGATGGATGATATGTACAATGATTAATAAATAAAGCTGTATATTGTTTTATATTAATAAAGCTTGAATGCAAACAAGCCAATCCTGTTCATATTGAAAGAATAAAATGAAGAGTGTTGGAGTGAGACCCAGGAAACATGACTTTATGTGTAGGTTGGGGCAGATGTTACAGTTTGGGAGTTGAGCCATAGTATTAGGATTGTTTTGCTTTTATGCACCAGTGGGCTCCTGGTTCTCATAGCCTGTGAACAATTTTTTATTTTATTTATTCATTTATTTTGGTACTGGGGATTGAACCCAGGGCCTTCATAATGAACTACATCTCTAGTCTTTTTTAATTTTTTATTCTAGGATCTGGCCTCCCTAAGATACTAATTTGCCTAGGATGGGCTTGAGTGTTGGATATTCCTGCCTTAGCCTCCCAAAGTGCTCAATTATAGGCGTGTACCACCATGGTGGGCTCAGTTTCTTTCTTTCTTTCTTTCTTTCTTTCTTTCTTTCTTTCTTTCTTTCTTTCAACACAGTCTTAGTAAGTAGCTCAGGCTGGCCTTGAACTCACTATGTAGTCCCCTGGCCTCAATCTCCCTAGTGCTGGGACTATAGGTACCAGCACACCCAGCTTCTGGCTAAATCCTTTAATTCTTTTAAGTTAAATAAAATGGACTGGAAATTTAGCTCAGTGGTGCAAGTACCTGGCTGGCAAGTGCAAGGTCATGAGTTCGATCCCCGGTACCAAAAAAAAGGTCAAATGAAACAAGGGAAAATTTGGTTTTCAAGGTAGAGAGAAAGGAGAAGAAGGAACATAGTACCAAACACATTGATATTCTATTACTCATTACATGTGTGTTTGAACTGTATGATACACATTTTGCATTTAGGCATATCTCAGATATAAACATTTTAATTTTACTCAAAGTGACACTTTTTAGTAAGGCTGAATTTGTCCTCTCGCCTTTCACTGCTGTTTTCTTCAAATTGCATTCTTGGTAAAGGGCCAGGTTTTACAGGTTACAGCTCCAGGGAAGAGCCGAGGTGCATTCTAGCCAGTGTTGCTCCCCCAGGAGTCTGCACTGTTCCCCCAGCTCTACCCCTCATGCATACTTTTTTTTTTTTTTTTTTGTCTTTTTCTTTTTTATCGGTACCAGGGATTGAACTCACGACCACACACTTGCAAGGCAAGCGCTTATGCTGCTGAGCTAAATCCCCAA